AATAATAATAATAATAATAATAATAATAATGCCCAAAAACATTTCGTTTCTGCCACAGAGAAATCTACATGACATAAGTCGGAAGTACGCTCAGGGCCGCTACCGCCGAGCTTGTAGTTTTAGCAAGTTCAAGAGCAGAGAGCTATAAGTGGATACATTTTTTAATAAAAAGATTAAAAAACTTCAATTAAAAATCGAAAACGGCACAAAAGATTGCAAAGATGACACCAAGGATTTTTCATTTCAAACTGAAAAAAAAACCATAACATAGTAGTTCTACAACTTCACATAATTTCTTGCATTACATTACAAAGTTGAGTTCAACAAAAATGAAACATTCCCCATTATTAAGCGCCATTTCTTCTATCCTTGGAAATCTTTCATGAAAAAATTGGTGCCAGATTTGAGATTTATTTTTTATAAAATTAGTTAGCTTCAGGCAGAAATTATGGGAATACTACTCATTTGATAAAAATGTATACATGACCTTATTTGAAGAGGTAATATGGTAATGGAAATAATCGTCCACAAAAGGTTTAATAATTTTTATTACCCAGCAAGTTTTGCAATTTCATATTTTTTGACCATGTTTTGAACATTCATGAGTTATCCACGTTGCTTGGGCAGTAAGTATTTTCAATTTTATTAATTTGTTTATTTTTTCCACTAAATTCTTTATATTTCTTTTGCTCAACTTGTGTTAACTTTCCAATTTTCTCCTCCTTGCTAGAGACCCACAGAGGATGGGAAAGTTTCCCGAAAGTTATTGGGTAATAAAAAATAAAAATTATTAAAACTTTTGTGGACGATTATTTCCTTTACCATATTATAGATTACCACAAGATTTCCGCTACCTCCATGGAATTAAAACTGGTAAGGGAATTTTTAGAACAAAATTCATTTAGAAAAAATTAGATTTATATGCTGCGTAACTTACCTGGACCAAGAGGGCCATGGTGATGAGGGAAATATGAAAACAGTAGAATGATGCTACACATTCCCTTATGAAGGGAATTATGGGAGGGAAATATGAAATGACAAACCGAGTCAAGTTAACATCTAGTTAATAACAAAATTAGTAAATCTGAATCAATAAATTTAATTAAAAAATAAAATCATGTATGTACCATGGGCCTTAACTGGTTCTAATTATCTCAGACAAAAACCCCTCAGGCATTAGAACCCTTATAATGCCCTTGGTGCATAAATAACTTGTCCACATATACACATAAAAAGACTTGTTCATAATCTGTACTCAAGAAAATTGCAATTTGTCATTAATGTAGAAGGGTTTTCAAAAATTATAAATTTTGTCATTAGAATTATTAAGATTGTTCACATTTCAACTTTCTAGAAAACATGGGTCTTGTCCCTCATAAATTCAATTTAATGCCGGAAACTTGTGTTAAATATTGAAACAGCAATAATTTGAAGAAATTTATTTGTATACAAATTTTATTTTCAAATATAATACTTATTTTCAAAATTTGTACATTGAAGCACAGAGAATTTAAAAGGAAAAACAAGATTTTCCGTATTTTATTATCCATGCTACATTTATCATCTATTAGAAGAATTATTACTACTTTTTTTAAACAAATTATATTTACACATATACAATAAATTTACTGATCTTCTTACTACATGTTGTTTCAATAACTTGAATATGGTTTAAGGTACTTTGTGTCATTCGCTTTTTCAACACAAGTATTATCAGCTAACGATATGCAAAAAGACAAAAAGGATAAGTATTCAAATCAGGCCACAAAACTCATGTTGTTCTGTGAAATAAAGTGTAAATCAACATCACACCACTACACATTTATCAAAGGTTATATAATTGATCTTGGGATTACATTCTTTGCTTGAAAAGACACTGAAAAAGATTCCTAAAATACTAATTAGACTTTTTGATCAGGTGTCTAGCTAAAATAATTTCTTAACCAAACGTAGAAATATTTCATAATTTTGAATGTAATATTGATGGAATTTACCACAAGTGACATTTTCCAAATTCAGATATGTCAAGTGAAAAGTCGATCCAATAATCAATATGCAATTCTTCAAAGAATTAGAAAAGCGTGTTTACTCAGACAGATTACATTTACTAAAACTTGAAGTTAAAAGGTATGGCACAAAAGAATAAATGATTCATTTCAACTTCCATACCTCACCACTTTGTTCTATACTTCAAAATTCAAAGCCAACTCTTCACTACTTGGCATTTAATATCAACATTTTCAAAGTAAGCATGCTGTCTCTATTATTGAACATATTAACGCAACTCCCATGATGCAGTCAAATTGCAAATAGTACTAATGCCAATGCAATTAAATTACAGAAAACATTTTAAAAATACATAGTTTCATAATACAAAAACTTGGCATATCTTCCTTGCTAACAATAACACTGCCAACCTGTTAAGAAGAGTGGACGTTAAGTTATCGGTGTAACATTAAATATACAAACTTCACATGTAATACCATACATGTATGTTAAACATTTTATTTGATGGGGTGAAAATGTTAAGTTGTGGAGAAGTGACTTTCCTCTTTTAATACTGAATCAAATCAAATGTATTTCTACAATACCAAACCTTTGAAAGAAATGTAACACATACAAGGTGTTAATTACCTAAAATAAACTATAAATCCATAACTGTACATGTCTTTTATGCAACTATCAAAACACCAAATACTTCAGTTCCACAATCACACATTTTGTACATTGCTTCTATTCTACTACTCTTATATATACACCAATCACAATTTAAATAGAAATAAAAATGAACTGTATTCTTGCAAAAAGATGCTTTCTTTCATCGCTAATAATAACAATATCTTGAATAAAATAGTGAAACACCACTTCCACAAATCAGCACTATAACCACAAAAAGATCATAAGGATTTGCATACCCTTTGTTTTAGACAGGTTGAATAATCAAATTTTTCAAGTTAACATAATGCAAAATTCAGAAATCTCTCTTAACTTCATGGGAAAATTAACATAATCTAAGGGGAAAAAATTAGCACATGCAATATCCAGAAAGAAATCAGAAAACCTCTCAAACTTTGTTAAGAACACTAAATTCATTCCCTGAATTTACTTTCCAGCCACTTCTTTTATTCTTCTTTTTCTTCTTCTTTTTATCAATTTCCACATGGCGAAAGAAGAATTTGGACCACCACTTCATTCCTCTCTTTTTCAGAACTACTCGCAGTACATCTTGCAAACATCTGGAATTTTCTAGGCAATTTCCTGTTTCGCACTTCTTCAAAATAGTTAATACTTTCATCTCATTTATATGTACAAGTGCAGCTACACTGAATACACAGGCCTCCTTGATGACAGATGGAGCTAGAACAGTATTTTTCATAAAATAACTGATCAAAAATAATAAAAGGAAATTGTACAACCAAAATTTACTTACTTGTTTCCAAATTCAGATAATTTCCAAACAATGTCAGTAAATCACAGACATCTGGTTTCTCAAAAGGTGGAGTTTTTGCCAAATAAGCTGAAACAAAACCATAGCAAGGTAATTGTATAATTTGGCAAATGAATAGTTACTACAGTAAACTCCCAATTATCTGCAGACGTCTTCAACCTCTTTTTTTCTTTTCTTTTTTATTCCTTACGTAAGTATACCAAAGAATAAAAACTAAAAGGTGTTAAATACCTATACTCAAGTGTAGGGAAGGAAAGTTTTGGAATCACCCCAACAATACGATCTCGAAATTTCAGATGTAAAAAGTATTTAATGCTCTTTTGAGCTAAAACTCTACACACACACATCATGATAAGATCTATCAGTGGTTACACAGAGATACACGGAACATTGTACCCAGAAATCGGAATACACCCCCCTCCCAACGCACAATTGCAGGCCCTCTCACAGGTGTCCCAGTTAAAGCACAGCTCAAATATTTTATAACACTTTAATATATTGAGGTAACATTTTCACCAACAGCTGGCCCTTTTTTTGGCAAATTCTCCATTTCATCAAAAATTGCAAAAAATTAACATCGCAAAAATACAATATTGAAGGTACGATATTTTACTTAATGAAATGCATCCTTCAAAATTAATCTTATTTTTACATCAATAAAATAATTTAATTAAAGAACCTACCACATAATTTTATACACCATGCTGCAGAATTTTCACTGACAAGACCTTCTCTCCAACTCTCAAAAGTAGGTAATAAGGAATTTTTTATTAATTTTCCATATGTCCATGACCAATTAGCTTTGAATTTGACCACAAGTAGAATGGCTAGCTCCAATTCAGGTAAACCACCACCTACAGTAAGAGAAAAACATGTCATAATTGGCTCCAACTTCTTGCATTAAACAATTTTTATTGATTTAAAAACAACTTACGTTTGATTTCCTTTACAAAATATTCCACATTTTCAAAGTCAGCAACACTTTCAAACTTATAAGAAAAGAAATCCATCATGAAACTCCTCAGATTCTTTGTGTCAGAATATTCATTACTACCATATTTGAAAATGCAATATACCATCGCTTGAACTATCAGAGAATCTGTTGAATACAGAAATGCATATAGTTTCTCTATGTTACAAGTCGATCTGAACACTAATACATTTAACAGACTGAATATGTATAGAATTATCTCTGATAGCAGCAGTACTGTGCAACACAATACTTCTCCATTTATTACAATTGAAACACATGTTATAAAAATATGCAACTGTGTAAACACCCACAGTCTATAATACTAACGACACAATAATTTAATTCACTTCCTCCTTCAATGTAACTTTCATATGAAAGAATTATTCTGTTCAGTGTGAAAAACTCCCTTTGACTATGAGAGTGTGGATCTTGGTAATGGCCTAAACTTAGTTGTAGTAAAGAAAAAAAGAAAATACTAAAATAATTCTTCGATGTGGTGCCCCTACACAGCTTTTGACGCTACAGGCCACAAATCATTATCAAAAATGTTATGGGTACGGACACATCTCTAGTCAACAGTGCCCTTGTTACTCTTCAAAACTTCGTGTTGATTAGGTAGATAGCAGGGACAGATGTGAGGGGGGAATAGCTGTGTCAGTAATGGAATCTGTGAGGTTATTGAAAAAGAATGTAGGCCCAAAACTTAGATTCTTTTACTAGATTACCTATTTTGATTAACAAGAAAAAAATCTTGTAAAGAAGGTTACAATTGTAAATGATCATACAATATACATAATATTTATGAAAAGAACACTTCTATCAACCTTTTTAAGTCACATCTGATAAACACCTCATTTTGCATCTAGGAACTACTGTGGGTGATGCAGAAGGGCCTCAATGTCACCTCATATGTGTATACATTTGGTTGTGGTTTGCAGTCTATTTTATTGAATGTGCACACATGACCAGCACACTTTCTCCTCGATCTCTCAAAAAATTGAAGTCTGAAGCAGTTTAATTCAAAGAGCAAAATGGCCAAGTCAAATAGCTGATTCTGAAGTTGGGCCAATAGAAAACAAGCTGGGAAGGAAAGTCTTTATTTCTCCACGTATAACTGTTCAAACCAGACATGACACATTTTTAAAGAGGCGATAATTTCACATTTACAACACATCAGAAGAGCTGGCTTGAGTATTCCGATTACAGGAAGTGAAGTCTGATTTATAGAAGCTGTAATTATTTGCTGCTTTTAATAGAATTGTCTGATTAGGTCTCAATTTTACTTATAGACTGATTTATATGGATTTTTTTCTCGATTGCAAAATTAACCAGCTTTTCAATACAAATTAACATACACATTATAAAATAACTTATGGAATTGATATAGCAGCTAGGCATAACTGTCAGAGTGCAGTTTACTTACACCTCAGAATATAAACTACACAAACGGTTTTAACTGTACTCTTACCTACCAATGACTCGAGAAAAAACAGGCCTAAAATGACAAAACTTTATGCTAGTTCTCAGCTTACTGGTATTTGGTAACACCATACAATAGCTACATTCTTACACTTAGAAGTTTACAACAATGTTGAATAAGAATGTAAAGGGCATGCAACAATAGCATCTGCACGGGGCAAATCAGGGATCAAAAACACAAGTTAAAATGCAGTTGTTATTCCTCAAAATGGTTCTGAATATAGAGAAAAATATAGTTCAATATGACTTCAGGGCTGCTGAGATTATAATGATCAATATTACTGGGGAAAACTCCATCCCATAGAGTTTATTGTCAAAAGTCTGGAGCATTTCATAAAACCTGATACGGACTACACTACTTTACTCAATAAAGATGTATAAGTTGTTCCATGTTAAATAATCTAATTTTGGAGAAGTGTCCCATGGGACCGACTCAGATTGTCAAAGTTTTATGTGCCAAATCCGTCGTGTCTCAAAAGGAATTTTTGTGAAGTTGTACTTTCTTAGGAGAAATAGATTTTGAGATACAGCAGATTATTTGACACCTTGCAGTATCGAGGTACAGTATGTTAATAAGATTTTCACAAATTGGGAATTCAAAATTTTCTTAATACAAAATCTACTTTAGTATTATGAATAAAGAAGGGAAAAAATTCTTAGCTTTAAGAAGTCACTTTTGAATAAAATTTACAGTAGTTAAATGATAAACATAATATTTGACTGTTATGTTAAAATTTATGTTATTTATAAAATGAATTACAAAAAAAAGCAGAGCTGATTCATAATTCTTGAAAGTGACTTGGATAGGATGTGATTTCTCCTCATTATATTTACCTAGTCTGAGTACACACATCAGACTTAAAATCCATAAATTCACTAAGATATGAGCAACCTTGTCTTTATGAACTTTAAAGCTCAATTCTCATCTGCAAAAAAATGCTCTTTAACTTCATAAACAATGAGATTGTTTCTATGTCTCATTCTGTCCTCAATCTCATGGACAATTGAATTTTCCAGAACTAGTGTTGGGTTTTCAAGATCTTCAACCTTTGCAGTCAAGTTCACAACTAAAGTAGATGTACTATTGAGTTAACAATTGTGGCAAGATCTTTAAACTAGATTTACAATCTGTGCAAAATAAAATAAATAAACCTTTAAACAAAATAAAACAAAAATAAAATAAAAGCAATTCCCTTTTGCCTCTCAATTCCAATACTTTAACTTCAGAGGCAGCGAGATCCGCACATTTAGAATACAGAGATTTTTGACACCCTTTGACTTTGATTATGACTTTTCAAAATAGTAGTTTTAGGCACAATTTTGGGATACGTCATGACATTACAGATTCATTATTGCATTAGAAATACAGTTCACTCAATTTTGGGGACTAACATTTTTGATTCACTACATCCGACAATGTCAAAATTAAACACAATTTCACCACAATGATTGATTTTATTAATATAGACCTACAGCAAAATACATTAACAGCATGAACTGAAAATTCCAATTAAAATTTCAAATCTTAAAAATCAATTATTTTCAATTGTACACCTTCATACGCCTTTCATTAGTAGTTTCTCCAGATCCTACTAGAGTGGAAACAAGTGCACTTAGTCTTTAGGGCACTGGAGAAAAATCCTGCCGGGCCTCCTGGTGACCTGAAGCCATTTGGCCAACGTCCTGAAGCCAACATTCCTGAAGCTGTGAGCTTTCTGAAGGAGACGTTTGATCTCGAGAAAGGAAACCTTTATGGTGACTCTGATTTTGTGAACCTCTCTCTCCAGGGGAAAAGTAGGACATTGGTTGGAGTTGGCTGAATGGTGGCCTTCACAACTGACACAGTGCAGTGGTGTACCGCAGGGTTGTGGATGGTGCATTGAGTACATTCCGCACCCTGGGCTCCGCATTTTCCACACACTGGGCTCTCCAACAAATACTGTTGTTAGGTATACCCATACCTTTGACATTTGAAACAGCACAATGGGTTTAGCACATACTGTCGCACATGGACATTGTAGAAACCACAATTGATCCTTTTCAGAACGGACGGGCAGTGAAATGGGAGTAAGGATCAGGGTCAAAGTAGGGATCACTTTCCCCTGCTACTACATTTTGATCCTCTACACCTTGGTTGTATCTTGAATACTGACGACGGAAATAATATCTCCGAAGCAAAGTTATCGTGGTGTACTGCTCCTTTGCAGAGATTCAGGGTTGTGATGTCAGTAATCATGAGACGTTGCTACTACTGGAGGATGGCAATTTCCTTGGTTTTTGTAATTTTTCATTTTGTTTATTTGCAGGTGCTTCAACAAGAATCATCCTGTTCCTCTGTCACATGACTGCTTGGACTTTCGCGAATGCTGCCTATATGCTCGTGCCAGACGAACAGCAATTACATATTTAACCATTTTGCCTTCCCTGGCGCATGTCATAAGAAGGAATCAAAGCTTCATCAGTCTGCCTTCATCCTTTAAAACAGCACTATTAAAATCAATAGTTCGTTCAACACATCTGCACATCAACAAAAACAATGCAATTGGTGTTCAAAACAAATTTTCAATAAAGGTTTATTGAGTATTATAGAGATGTTCTTTGAACATTTCACACTTCCTTAAAACATTTGAAGTAATTATTCGATCTTCCTTGACAGTTAGCTTTTCACTTTCCTTGATAGTCACCAAAATATTAGAAAAGAATGTTTAATCTGCAAAAGCCAAGCAAGTTTTTGATGTGAAAATACAGGATCAGTCAAGAACAACCCTACTCTTCTTTAAAAATATTTGAAGAAATTATTCAATATTCTTTGACCGCAGTTTGCTTTTCATAATAGTCACAAAAATTTGAAAAAAGCACTCTCTTACTCTTGAGAAAGCTACGTGACTGAACAAGCTGACTTAGAAATTTCATCGAATCACTGCTGATGACGAAAATACTGATACAGGTAAAACACAAACCAAACCTAACAAGACAAGTCTTCACTCTTCACTGTACATCCACATCCTTCCACAATTAGGTAAACAGCACTCGTAGACCTGGGCAAAACGTTAAATGAATGTTATCACTACATATATAAGAAACAATCTTCAGTGGTATCAAGCAACTATTATTAGTTCTTCTAGTTGTTGCTGCGAGAGCAAATCTTAAATTAAAAATCCCAAACCACGTTGTATGGTAAACATCGTCAGTCTGTGTAAACCACAGTGTATAAAGAGTGTATATAGTACAAGATAGAGGAATGTAAGCCTTCTAAGCATTACACCACAAAAATGGCCACCATCACCAAGGGTTGAAATATAGGTGGCATTGGTAGTATTCATAAGTACCGAACCAGGAAAAGTTCAATAGATTAATGAAGAATATCTCATACTGTAGATTATGGTGTGAGGAACATTTGATGCCTCCGGCCTCAATATTTTAATTTATAGACCCTAGAATGCTTTGTTTAAGAGTTATTTAACAATTTATCTGTCTAACTGCTTTGGGTTGCATTAGACATGAATATTTAGATGTATTTTTTAAACAAATCCTTCACATATGTGAAGTCTAAGTGTAACTCGTCACCTCTCCGTGAAATTCTCTTACTTTAGAGATTTCAATTATAATTGGTTGCATGTGAGAGCTGCAAAATGAGGAATGTATACTACTGAAATAATATAGGAGGCGATAATAATAATCATGAGAATAATTTGAATACGTGCCTAAAGTCAAGTTTTCCATTATTTGTCATAAAACAACACGTACACTGACAAAAAAAAACACATCCAGCAGAAAGATTGAAACTAATTAAAGAAAACTTATGACATCTGAAAAATGGATGAGAGCAATCTCCTGATTATATTTAGATTTATTTAGATCTTCGTTTGATAGGTCATCAAGAGGTCATCAGGAGCTTACAAGCCACTACAGTGACATCACTATTGTGACATTCAACCTTCAAATTGGATGACACCATAACAACCAATTTAAGTCAACTGTAGCTGTTTAAATCCAAGTATAAGAATGATACCTGGGGTTATGTTGGTGGCACGAAAGTAAAGCCAAAAGCAACAGGTAGCAATGCCGCACCATTTAACAGTGGATGGAAGTCGACTTGAAGGCAGTTGGACGTCATTCTCACCATAAGTCCGATCAAGGAATCAGGGACGTCACAACAAGACAAAGTTTAATCAAAAAATTTAGAGACCTTATTGAGAAAATTTTGAAAAGGTAAATGAGGCTTCCTGTAAAGTACCCCTCAAAATAAAAATATGTGATTCAAACTTACAGGGTATCGAGTTCCTTTAAATTTTGGAGAAAATTGGCTGAATGGTTTAAACACTAGCATTGACCACAGACAGATGTTACGTTGTGGCCTCTCACAATGTATTGGCGCAAATATTAAAATAATTTTCTAGAAGTAGGAACAAGATTTATCCACTTTCTCAATATCAGAACCTGGCAGTAGGAGTTTTCATACCGAAAATTCACTATTTTCAGGCACATGATAACAGTATTTTTTCTTATGAAGTAAGGCTCTGAAAATAAAATAAAGAGTTCCACAAGACTGGAACTTCTGAATAAAATACAATTTCTGATTTGCTAATTATTTGGGTGTTTCCAATATTTTGAACGTACATACAATATGGAGTATACTTACTTCCTGCTCTACTAGTTGCATTGGGAAAGCACTCCGGAAAAGCAGTTAGAACTGCAAGTAAAACGGTATAAGCATGCACTTTTAAGCAGAAAAGAGCATCATAGCAAAATATTTGTGCTTTCTCTTTATAATTACGCATCTTGCAAAACGCAGTGAAAAATCGAGCCAAACAACGCAATGTAGGCATCTGAAACAGAAATATTAAAACAAATTTATAATATTGAAAATGCGGTTTAACTCAAAAAAATTATTAAGTGTAGGAGACAATAATAAAAGAAGCCTTTCAATAATAGTCATCACTTAAATTTTTTGGAAATTCTTGATAACTGACTACAGACAGGCACCTTAATCATTACTCTATTGTGAAAACTATGTAAGACCAAAAAAAAGTACATTACACACCCAAAAACATTTTTTTCTTTTTCTTTCTTTCCTTTTACTTCCTATTTTTCTTACCTCCAAGAATTCAAAATGAATATTTAGAGCCTCTAGAGAGTAAAAAGGCTATTTGCCTTAACTACTAGGGAGAAAAAAGGTATTCGCACTTAAACTGCATTAACACAATCATCAAAAAATGTTTGACTTGCATAGTTTTGTAAATAGGATAACCACATACTTCATGTATTTCCATTTTTGATTTAACTCTAGGGTTTCAAGACCGACTAGCTGTACTATAAGAGCATGTACTTTCACGCAAATATTACACTAAAAGTACTCAAATTTTTGAAAAATTGAAAACAACCTTATTTCAAAACCTATCTTTATGGAACAGATTTCATTAACGAGAAAAATCTCTATCTCCATAATTTAATTAAATAAAATAATAAAATTATGGAGCTTTATTTTAAAATTTTGAAACTGCCCCAGGGACTTCATGCAAAGTACCCCCCAAAATTAAAATATCAGTTTCAAATTCAAGAGGCCTCTTCATCAGACGGATCAATTGGGGAATATCAATTTTGGAGAAAATTGGCTGAACGTTTTAACCGCTACCATTATTTACGGAGGATGGGCGAACGTTTTGCCATTGTTCGATTTTTCAGTATCAAAGACCCACAAAACATGGATTCTGGCAACACCACGTTTTAGAGGATTGTTTTTCAAGCAAAAATCGTAAATAATGTAATTTAATATTGAAGTTAAAAGAAATGATTGTACTAAAGATCTTTAAGATACAGAAAATTACAAGGAATAACATAGAAATTATCTCTTTACAACAGGAAAGCTGCAACTATAAGCAAATTGTACAATAATTCACCAACAATTTTATTAATTTCATTATTCCAAGTCTTATCTTATTTAGAAGAGGAAAGTTCCTTACACTTTGATGATGTCTTTTGTTGCACACAACATATGTGATCCTCTCCAATACTTCATTTATGATAGTTGGATGATCATTTTCCAGTTTGAGAACCAATGCAAAAAGACGCCGCTGTGTAGGACTCAGTGGAAAATTAACTGTAAAATCACAAGCCTCTGCAGATGAGTATCTGCAGTGCTTCACAACATGCCTGTAAGAGAAGAGAAATAAAAAGTAACACTGATGGTTTAAATTCTTAAAGAGAATAAAGAAACATTACTACTCATTGTCGTTCCTAAATTTACATTTTAAAACCAAATAATTAGCTGTATATAAAATCATGGAGTATCTACTTTTTCAAATTTTATTAGATTTTTTTGTCCAAATTTTATTTTAGACAGTCATATTCATATTAAAAGCCAACAAATTAATACACCATAATTTAGATTGAAATTTTATTGAAATGTTCTGTTAGTTTTTGAAACATTATTCAATATGTATACGTCCATCTAAAATAAAATCTGGACAAATAAACATCTAAACAAATCTTAATGACATTCTGAAGATGGTGGAATACTTTATTAAATCTTAATTGGAAGTAATATTGACTGATGTCCACAAATTTATGCACTATAATAAATACAATTTTATAAATATTTCCCAAATGAATCCTCAACAGTTCAACAAAATCTTTTTTTATTAATCTCATTAAACAAATGCACTGATCAAATGGCTTACTTTACAATGATTCTATAATCTCCTTTAACTATTTTCTTGCAATCTTCCACAATTTTTGTTAAAGACCTTTCCGTAAACTCTTCTTCTAAGTATATATTAAATGGTAATTCCAATTTTTGCTTTTTATCTGTAAGAAAAAATTAGGACATTACATGTGTGTACAAATGAACTCTTTGCAAACAAAAGATGTGCGTACAAATTACAAAATACACATCTGAATTCCGTACTCAAAAAGCATACCCTTAAAGAGAAAATATTATCATATTGCTTCTGAATTATTCTTACCCTCTCAGGACTCTATGTACTTAACGTTATCAAAACTACAACACATCACCCGGTTCCTATGTCTACTTCCAAAAAAACAAATACAAAAGAAAGCAACAGCAGGGACAAAAATAATGAAAACCATTTTGGATATTCCGATTACTAATAGTGAAACTAAAGCAATGTGGCATATAAAAAATACAACCAAGTTATCTCGATACTTCAAAGAGATTGTTGAGATAACAGGGAAGTGAACAGATAACACAAAGCAGTGGCTTAGCGAAATGGGGGCATACCATTGCCTTGTCTATTTATTTACAAATCTGTAGTTTTGGTCAAAAAACTTAGTGAACGGTGGGAACATATTTTTGTGCAATACTGATATTTATAATTACAACACATCATAGAAATCACAATGATCAGCTGCGAATATCAACAGCTCCAAGAAGAAATCTACATATAATACGTTACTTTTCAACAGATTGCATGACAGACAGAGGGCATTAAACAATTAAAATCAGTACGCATATTTAAGTTAAATATTAAAATATTTTCTGCTGCATAACTGTTTCTATACAATTAGAGACCATAGTGATCAGAAAGAAAAAAATATATTTATTTTAACACTATATTGCTTAGTTTATCGATATACTATATTGCATTAGTTTAAATTTGTTTTGTATAATTTTAAAAAGATATAATATGCCTGTAATAAGTAATGAACTCCAGCTTACGGGCCAATGGCCCCATCCTAATCAAATTTTCCAGTTTACCTGATCCACTAAGAATTGTTGAGATGGCCCTTGTTTAGCTTCTGTACATAAACGAAGCTTCACTACCCGCATGTTTTGTGGAGATCTCTTTTTGCTAGTTGTAGGGGTAGAGCCACTACTTTGCTAATATAAACTTGTCCACCTTAAGACCGCGTAATATTAATGGAATTAGGATGTATTTCCTGGACTAATCTTCGTTCTTTCCGAAACTAACATGCATCATTCCCTACATGCAACCATCACTATCATTATTTAGAATCTTAAGTGGCTAATAGGATATCCACTTTTGTGTTTTATCACTACAATTTTATAAAGTAAAGAAACTTTTGTGAAAAGTAATACAAGATAATGAAAGTATGCCAAAATCACACTGGTAAGCCCAAAACAACAGTGTAGAAAAATAAATCTGATCGGGAGTTCACAGCGGTTGGCAGGAATTTCCCATGTGAAAGTAGACCAACATGTAGTTGCAAAGGAATTTCCCCAACGGCTTGATACAGCATGGTGTCAAGATGGACCTGGAGTCAGTACAGCTCGGCGAAGCATTCTTTTATTGTCGCCGTCAGATGGTTGGCGGGGGAAAAGGTTAAGGGTCACCAAGGGCACTACGGGAATCGGTGGGCACAAGCCGTCGAGGTGAACTTGAGTGCGAGGACGCGCTGCATTACAAAACCGAAGGTCGGGTAAGGTGGAACGCCTCGCCTTCCTGCACCAGCGCAGAACAGGAGCGCCTTGGCAGCCAACGCATGCGCCGCTTTCGATTGGGCCGGCGGCCACCGGCGACGAGCTCTCGTTCAGCGAATATCAAAAGCTGATTACACAGGGCGACTATCGAATTCGCCGCGGCACAAAAATATGTGATTCTTATGGAGTTCAGTGCTCTGATGACAGTGGTGAAAACCATTGTTTGCTATGACCTCAACTTTCTTCTGGATCGCTATTTTGCCTTCGCTCTGCTATTTGTTGTGGCGCTTATCACATTGTTATTTTAGGAATATTATTGCCTAGTAGTTGGAGTACAGAGGGGAGGGGGAGATAGCCAATAGGGTACGTAAATGAAAGTTGCAGTAGGGTCTGTCAATCGATAGTGAGATCATAGTGTATCTATTCAAGTTTCTAAATCCGTTCACGTGAAGAATACTGTTTGTGTGTTTTCATGTGTTTCTTAAACTTAGCGATGTCTAGGAAGTGTGTTAATTCGTCAAATCTTTTTTGTTATGTGAGCGTCGAGATAACGACCAAGTCTCAAAGACATCCCATTTCTCCGACCGTCAAAAAGGCTTACGAGTTTATTTTCAATCATACATATATGAGGTAAGTGTGTGGCACAGAACCGCTCCTCACGTTGTTCCCACTATTTAAGAGACCGTTTGCATGAAACTACATATTTATGCCATTTGTCATGCCATAGTTGTGGGGGGAACCTAGACATCACATTACAGATTGCTACTTTTGTTTACCGCAAGTAAGAGGAATGTCAAGAAAATCAAAACACGTACATTATGTGATCAAAAGTATCCGAACACAAGGCTGAAAATGACTTGCCAGTTCCTTGCACCCTCCATCGGAAATGCTAGAATTCAACAAGGTGTTGGCCACCCTTAGCCTTGATGACTGCTTCCGCTCTCGAGGGTATACTTTCAATCAGATGCTGGTAGGTTTCTTGATGAATGGCAGCCCGTTCTTCACGGTATGCTGCAGTGATGAGAGGTATCGACTTAAGTCGGTGAGGCCTGGCACAAAGTCGGCGTTCCAAAACATCCCGAAGGTGTTCGATAGGATCCAAGTCACGACTCTGTACAATCCATTACGGGGATGTTATTGTCGTGTAATCACTCCGCCACAGGCCGTGCAGTATGAACAGGGGCTCGATCGTGTTGAAAGATGCAGTCGCCATCCCTGAATTGCTCTTCAACAGTGGGAAGCAAGGTGTTTAAAACATCAGCATAGGCCTGTGCCGTGATAGTGCCACACAAAATGAGGGGTGCAAGCCCCCTCCACGAAAACCACGACCATTCCATATCACCATTTTGGACGTGTCCGTATACTTTTGATCACATAATGTAGTTTCTTATGCAAATTTGAAATCTGCAATGCGCCCAGTTCTGCGTTCTGACTCTCTCCCTGTTCCAAAGCTACCAACGGAATGGACACTGGAAAGATGAAACACACGATGGTAGTGACAAACCAACAGATCATGACCTTCATAACAATCTGCAGCACGTATTCAACCAGAGCCATTGCCGCAGGCAGAATTGGTTTTGTAGATCTAAATCTTCAAAAAGTCTAGCAGAATGGCTTAGCTCTCGTCTTCAGGAAAATTACTTGTTTCAACAAAATTCTAAGTATTCTAATGACATTGTAATGGTATATTGCAATGACATAAATGGTCTGCTTACAAAATCTGGGATGATTCACAATCCGGAATAGTGCCTATTTACTTCTAGGAATGCAGACTGGTTACGCTAAATATTGCTGTTTCTTGTGTCGCTGGGAAACTAGGGCAAAACCTTTATGTAGTCAGAGTGGCTTTTGAGAGAAACTTTCCTGTTGAAAAAGATGTGTCGCATGAACTCCTTGTTTTCAAAAACAGTGTGCTGTTAGCATCATTCCATCTGAAATGGGGCTCTATAAAGAATTTTGTGAAAGCAATGGACAAAGTTGACCGGAGTTTCCAATTTCATCTATCTAAATTTCCTGCAATTAGTACTGCAAAACTTAAAGAAGGAATTTCCATTGGGCCTTAGATCCGTGACCTGATGTACGATCTTACCTTTGAACAAGGATTGTGCTGAACCGTTACAAGGCTATGGGGTGCAGGATGTCTCTGAAATTACATTTCCTTAATTCACATTTGGATTTCTTCCCACCTAATCTTGGGGATGTGAGTGACAAGCATGGCGAGCGATTTCACCAAGTTATCGATGCCATGGAAAGTCCATAGAAGAGATGGCCACCAAATCTTTTGGCAAATTACTGGTGACAAGAATTTTCACCATCCACCCACAAACGAAGGTTTCCATCTTGTAGCTTCAAGATGGAATTCATTTCCAGCTTTATTCATCATTCTCCTACTGTTTTCAATTTATTTTGTAATATAACCTATCAATTATACAAAAAATTCAAACAATTTTTGTAAAATGATCCGTATATTAATCAACTACAGATTCGTCCTGTCTTGTTACCGACACGTTTCCGAGTTTTTCGAAAGTGGTATATAAAGTGTTTTTCCAGAAAGAAATGGAACGTGATGGAACATTTCTGATTTATTTTCGCAATCAGCGAATGTGATTTAGTAAACAACACATACTTTCATCTCGTGGCAAGACACAAAGTTCATATTTGTTGCACTGTGTTATCACTCTCATGCTCGAATGCCCTGAGGCTTGTTACTGCTCCGGACCCATTGCCTCGATCGATCCCCATGTCGTTGAGCCCGCGCTTACCGCAGGCCGAGGCTGGTAGGAGTTCGAGAGCAATGAACGAACAACTTGGCATGAAATAAGTGATGTAATCGTAGGGAAAGAGGTTTCAAAACTCACGCTATGGGAGATTGTATCCGACTTCCCAGTTGCATCGGTTGTCTCCCGTGCATTAGCACTGTCTGTTCCAATCTGGGCGAGCATTCAAAAAACGGTCCTCTCCAAGGTACGCGACCTGGCCGTTTATATACTTTACCGTCATGAGGACTCCCCAGCCGCAACGCTCGGTGTCGTGTGTTGCAATCTATTCGAACCAAGTGTCGGCCTCCTTCATTGAAGTGGGCTAGTATTTGTGAACGCCATTGTTTTGGGCTCACCTGGGAGCAGTTTTCTCAATTGGTGGAACGCTAAGAGGGATGGCGCATTCGGATGGAGAAAAAATGAAAAACAGAAAAAATGAGCCATTTTTGAGAAAATTTGGAAAATGTTTTACTTTATAAAAAGTACTCCAAACAAAGATTATTTTTTTCAAAATCGCATTGTCTCGAGTCGAGGCAGATCGATCGAAAAATATTATTTTTGGAAAAACTTACGAAAAGTTTAGGTTATAACTTTTTTCGGTATCAGGGAACGCCGGAGTGTATTTCCACTAAATTTTCGAAATATATTTTTTCCAGCACTATATTCCATACTTATTATTGTTTAAACCTACGTATACAAGAAGTAAAAAACATCAATGGTATATTATGCAACTAGTTCATAATATGAATTGCTTTATTGTGTAAGTACATGTTTACTGCATAAGTTCGGCGACGTGGGAGATGCGAGCATTCAAATGTGTACGAATGCAATAAAGCAACATTATAAACGAATTTTTGTTCAACAGCAACAAAAATTTATAAAAGAAGCAAAATTGAATAAGTTTTGCGGTTGGCAACGTAGTTGGTATTATGACGCCCCCCAGAGGACGCATTCAAGTATAAAATTCCAATTTAAGAAAAACCCTTGCAATGGAAAATGCCATTTATAATGCTTCTATACCATAAGATTATTAACATTCCACCAGTTGATTTTTGAAAAAAAAAAATTAAATCAAGTTTGTTTACTTATTGTAGTTTACAAAAGAATTTCTACGGAAAACCACAATATTCTACTTACAAATTAGATAGATTTGCAATACACAGAATCCATTTGGATTGTACGGAAAATAGCCGCTTATTGCTACAAAAGAATATTCCATCCTGCCAGGTCAACATGCGAGGGCTCTCCCATTCAGCATCTCTCACCAGGGCATCGCTCTGGTAGTCTAAGCTCCCGACGTACTGTCTACTGTGTGTAAGGGGTGAGGATAGGGCAAGGAACAGTAGGGAAGGTCGCGTGCGGTTCCCGGCCCGTTTGTTAGGGCATTCGCCAGGTGTTCATTGGAGAAACCACAGAAAACTACCGGTCAGAGCACCAGTCCGCGAGAATACTCCAGACAGCGACTGAATCCGACCAAACTCACAAGCTAGTGTCGAAAATCCAGCCAAACCCTTCGGTCGCACGGTCAGTGACATCAGTGGTCCTGAACCCCTTTTTTAGATTTCACCTAGAGCCTCTGCATTTTCAGTGAAATTTTCTAGCTGACTTATAATGTCTGCTTGTGTCGCAAGAAACCAATGGTAAGCAAGAATATATGCAAATTAAACCAATCCCAGACGTCCATCACTAGATGTTTATCAATTTTGCACTCCGCTGTATTCACTTTGTTAATCCTTTTGTTAGCGATAGCAATTGATTATGTCCATAACAGCTTGCGACCATCAATATGTTAAAATGAGAAGTTTGGGTAGTGTTGCAAACTTTGAAATTGGATCTATGGTTAAAGATAGTGCTGAATGCAGCAAAAGAAACAGACTAAGGTGTGGTGGAAGCAACTTCAAGAACTTTGTGAAGACAGAAAATACAAATTACAAACAACAAATAATGAAATTTTACAAACTTTGAAAGAATGGGCAATAAATATTCAAAGATTAGATTTTTATTTATTTATGTCAAAACAGTTAAAACTGTGTGAAGTGCTATGGGGAGAAGTTAATTTGAAGTCACATTTTGTTCAGAGGCAAAACAAGGGGTCATCTCAGCATTTGCTTGAGGATCAGGGAAACTGAACAAAAACCTGATCGAGATGGGGGTCATTGACTCAGAAGCTGAAATACAATACTTGTTACATGTTCTTTACAATTATACAATCCAAATGGTATGATACATTAAAAGTCATTGTTAAAATTAATATTACATTCATTTTGAATGGTCGGTAAAGTCTCTAATTGTATACAAACAGTTGTGCAGCAGAAAACATTTTACTTGGGACAAACTTTTTTATCAAATTTAATAGTTTAATGTCATCTGGCAAGGTGCTGTAAAATAATGTGCATGTATTATATGTGAAATTTTGTAGTGAGCTGTTGATACTGTCACCTGATGAATATGATTACTATGTCGAGCGTTGTAGTTAGAAACAACGGCGTTTGTCGAAACTATATCCCCGCCGTTAAGCAAGTCACTTTTGACAAATACCAATGATTCATATATGAAGAGGAAAGGTAATGGTAAAACACCTACATTAATGAAGAGAGGCTCACAAGAATCACAGGTTGGAATTTGCTTATTATTCATACAATTCTTTTTTGTAATATAAAAATCTGGAACCTGTAAGTTGTATTTCCCCAGAATATTACGCCATATCTCAGGCGGGAATGAACATTCGCGAAATATACACGAGCAGTGTGGAGGCTGACTGAATTTAAAAGGATTCTGAAAGCGTAGCATAAAGAACTTAATTTAGTGTTCAAGTCATTTAAATGGACGTTTCATTTAAGGTTTAACTGAATTGAAAGACCTAAAAATGTTGTTACGTTAACATCAGTCAATGGCACGCTGTTTATTTTCAGAGAAGTGCAGAGCTGTTTATTTGAAATGGAAAACAGCATTCAAACAGTTTTCTTTTCATTTACTATTAATTTGTTATTACGGAACCAATTTGAAACATATGATATTGTACTATTTACGGTTTCTTTATTGCAAAGAATATTCGTATCATCCTCAAAGAGAACTGTTCTTCCGTTTGTAATCGTCGAGGGTATATCGTTTACGTATAGTAGGAAGAGAATAGGGCCTAAAATCGATCCCTGCGGGTCTCCACATGCAATTGGCAAAGAATCAGAAAGGTGTAGTTTGGGTGGCACAATGTAATTTGTTTACATGTTGTTCAGGTGTAAAGTCACAACCTAAATTAATGTCATTCTGCCCTCCTATGATAATGACTCTGTCCTGGTTGGTCTGTGTTTTCGTGTGGGTGTCCAACTCTGCAGCCACGTCTGCAAACCTCCCGTTAGCTCCAAAAATTGATGAGACTGAGTAGTTGGAGGGTAACAGAATGCTTTCGTGGCTCAGTGGCGAAATCGCTTGCATTTCATCCCTGAGGTTCGGGGTTCGATTCCCATAGAACCTGAGAAATTTGTTACGACGAAACGGGTAGGTTTGATGTAAATAAATAAGTTAATTAATTTCAAACGTTCAAAGTTACAAGAGGTGCTAAGTGATGTGACTCTCGTGTGTGTGTGTGTATGTGTGTGTGTATATATACATTTTGACTGTTTTTCCCAATTTTATATTAATCGACATTACAGAACTGTTGATATTCTTTGATTGGTTCTTCTTTTTCCAAATAGTACATATACACAAAATAAAATAGCATCACTTCAACATACATTTTTTAGTGTAGAAGTTTGAAAATTGCATCTGATTATACCAAGAATCTTTCAATCATGAGCAAGTAGTCAAACTTAAATATCAGAACTGAATACATTTAGATAATATATACTATTTATGTTTTTACAGACCCTGATAAATAATATTGATTGTTCTCAAGAAATATCTACAAAAAAGTTAGGTCACCAATTCACTATGTGAAAATTTTGGAACTTTTTGTATCGTTAGCATGTACAAATTTGTATTGTTGCCAGTATTGCAGAAATTTCAACAGGGCATCTCCATAGCCTTTATTTTTTTTAATTATCCTTTAATTCAAAAATATACAAGAAATGTACTTATACAATTGCAGAAAATAGACATGGGATGCTTGAGCAGAGAAGAAAACTAACAAAAATGGATTCCTTACTAGTTTGCTCATGATCAAGCGATCCTAGCTTATACACTATGTAAGCTTTTTATAAATGATGTAAAGAATCTCTAAAATGGAACATAGTAATACAAGAAGAAACATTTCAAACACAAAAAAAATAAGAGACATAATTTAAAATAACTGCACAATCTTCAAACAATACTCAGATTTAAACAGTGGTACTAGAAGTTCACAAGCTGGAAGAAGATATGAACACAAGCATTCAATCAGGAGCTCCAATACCAAAAATTTAAGTCTTAACGAATCTCCCCATTGGATGACAGTGTCCCCCTCCCTGACCAGCTTGTGACCTTGAAGTGCCACTGATTATTAACTATATTGTTAAAAATAATTGTGTGAAATATATCTGCTTAACCTTTATAGTTAAAAAATAATTGTACTTGCCTGAGTAATTCTTCAATTTCTGCTTGTTACTTGCGTTTTTCTCAATCGCCTTAAGCTCCTTAGAGTGATGCTCAAAAAATTTTTGGAACATATTGGGCTCCTGGCTTCCTTTTGGTCTGCAGTTCAATTGTTCACTCCAAGGACACAATTTGATTTTTTCTTTACCTTCATTCTCTGTATTGCTAGAATATCCTAACCAGGTACCTTCTACTACTACATTTTTAACCTTTTGACCAATGACATCAGGTGCTATGGATGTGACATCTTCATTTTCAGATGCACATGTATTTACAGGGCTTGTAGGTATTGTTATAGGTCCTTGAAAATCAATCTCACAACTTATATCAGGTGGAGACAGTGGAGATTCAAGAACTGTATGACTATTAACTTCATCTTCAGGATCTATTCTTTCTATGTCTTTATCATTTGTAGACTCAATTTCCCAAGTGTCATTTATTTGACAAAATTTGGAACTTGAACACCTAACTTCCTGATTTTCATATTTTTGTTCTTTTATTATGCTTCCCAAAGATGTTTGTGTACCTTTTATCAAATGATTTTTGCCCAATAGTAAATTTCTACTATCTTGTTTAGAATGACATACAAGTTGAAATTGGTTATTAGTCATCTTATTACCTTCTTCAATATTTACCCCCTCTTTCCCAAATGAACTTGTTAAATTCTCTACAATGTTTGTGTATTGTCTTTCTCCCTGATATTTTCCACTAGTACTTTCATCACTATCACTCAACATCATGTCACAAGCAATATCTTGAAGGGCTGGAATATTTACAACAGATGACTCTTCACATTTGGTCTGTCCGGTGCAGTCAGAGTCAGACTCATTTAGAGTTGGTTTCAAACAACTTTTATCTGATGCTGAACCCCGAAAATGACTTCTTTGTAAAATACAATGTTCTACAATGTTTTTATGTTGCCTTTCCTCCTGATTTTTCCCATTAGTACTTTCATCACTATCACTCAACATCATGTCAAGAGCAATATCCTGAAGGGAGGGGCTGCGACCAGAAACATTTACATCAACTGACTCTTCACATTTGGTCTGTCTTGTACAGTCAGTTTTAGACTTATTTATAGTTTGTTTCAAACAATTTTTATCTGAAGCTGAAACCCTAATAAGCCTTCTTTGTGAAATATACTGTTGTTTCAATTTCTGAAGTTTAGTTTTCTTCCTAGGTGGCTTCTGGCATGATCTTTGTAGCACATCTGCCTGATGCTCTGCAGTTTTCTGAGGTGTTTCATCACAAGACGATTCTTCACCAATTCTTTTATTGAACGTTAAATCTTTTTTAGGCATATGGGCTATTCTTTGATGTTTTTTGGTTAACTCAGAATATGAACTACTTTCAGAATTTTCAGGATTTATGCTTGCTTCAGAATTGCAAGTTGCAAATGAAGTACGGACAATTTTTCTCCTCCCAGTCATTCCCTGTCTGCAAAATGGAGATGACTCATCAAGACTTCCTAAAGACTGCTTCTCCAAATTTTTCTCTTTATTTGATGTTTGGGAAGTATCTATTGCTTTACTTTCTTTCACTAACTTTTTGGCTTTTGCTGGAATTAAAAGTCCCTTAGCTATAACAGTATCTCTAATCATATTCTTCCGAGCAATTTCATTCTCCACAGGTGGAGGTTTCACCACAACCAATTCTTTAATCGTAGATTCACAATATTTCCGATAAGGCAAGGTCCTATTAGAGGGGATATTAACAATTTCTTTTGCACAAGAAGTAATTTCTCCTGCAATATTAGAAGATTTATAAAAACTTTTAAAACTTTTTTCTTGGGATTCACTGTTGGATGTTTTAGTTTTGGAATTATACGAAATACTTTCTTGTGAAGAACTTGTCTGTAAATTAGAAGAACTACTAATCTTATTGCTCTGAAGGTTTCTTGGTGAAACTTCATGGATATTGTTTTTAGACACACTTTCACAACCACGTTTGTCTGAAAATAGTTCTAAGCAATTTTCAACATTCTGTGTGTTTTGCTTCTCCATTATATTATGTGTGTTATTGCTTCCATAACTATGATCACTATTTTCGTTATCTTCATATTCAACTTCTTTGTGGTAATTATCATCCTCATCACTACTGATATAAATGTTATCATCATTATTAACTTTTTCACTTCTAACACAACCATAAGAAACACTTTGAGATTGATTTTGCAAGGGTGGGGACGCACAGTTCTCGTCATCTCCCGCAATTTTATCCACCTTATCCTTCACAATTACAATTTCCTCCACAGCATGGTTCACCTGACTAGAAGTAATATTTTTCCCAAGTGAAATATTACTAATACTACTATTACTACTGTTGCTGCTACTCCTCCTCCTCCTCCTATTAGCGGAAGTCTTATCAATCGGATGCAGCAAATTTTCATTAACTTCCTTTAAGTTTTTATTTTGCTCCTCAATTATATTGTGTGTGGTATTATTGCTTCCATAACTATGATCGCTATTTTCATCATCTTCATTTTCATCATTTTTATGGTAACTGTCATCATCCTCATCACTGCTGATATATTTGTTATCACCCTTATTAACTTTTTCACTTCTAACATAACCACAGGAAATACTTTGAGATAGAGGGGAGGTACAGTTCTCGTCCTCTTCCACAATTTTATCCACTTTATCCTTCACAATTGCAATTTCCTCCACAGAATGTTTTACCTTACTAAAGGTAATATTTTTCCCAAATGAAATATTACTAATACTATTATTACTACTGTTGCTACTCCTCCTTCTACTAGGGGGATTCTTATCAAGTGGATGAAGCAAATTTTCAGTTACTTCTTTTAAATTTTTATTTTGAGCAGAACAAACTTCAGTTTTGTACAACAAAGGATTATTATAATTTCTTTGGTCAATAGTGTGCATGTCATGCTGACTGCCTGAAAATTTTCCTTGTGGAAATTTTGTATTTTTTGGAAGTGTATCACTAAAATTGTATGCAGTTCTATCTGACAATTTATCAACATTACTGGATGCATTGGAAATATCATCATTAGATGATGGCAGTCTTCTGATCTTTGCGGGGCTGCATTTATCATCTTCATCACAACTTGCTACCTGTTCATCATCTACAAAATTCAATTTATCTTGCAGACTATCCTTTATTTGTTCTGCTTGAAATGAAACAAACGTATCACAGGAATGAAAGCTTCCTTTACTAGATTGTGATGATTGAGAAGAACTAAGTTGTTCTGAACAACTCCCTTTAACCAACTGCCCTACACTTTGAAGTACAGCAATTGGTTGATTTTTCAAATATGTTGAAATTTCATTACAATTTCTGAGAGCTTGATTACACAAATTGGTAGAAATCATCTTATCATGTTTAGGTACTTGATGCTCTTCATAATTATTTTGAGAAGTTTCAAATTGAGGATCACTTTTATCTTCTAGAGGCCTTACGTTATAAGAGGCACATAATCCCAGCTTTGCCACAGAAGACAATGTGTTGGTCACAGATGAAGAAGACGGTACTCCTTTTTCAACTAAATTGAGGCAACTAGACAATTTTTCTTTTGCCAATGTTGAGCTTGTTTTTAAAGAACTTGCCTTCACACTGTTAGAATTTGTTACATTGGAAATACTATTAGCTAAGGGAATTATATTGCTTGTGATATCATAAAGAACCATTTCAGATGTATCTGAAGTCTGTTCATTAGTGGCAATATCTAATTCATCATATGATTCGTGTCCATCACTTTCAATGTTGAAACCACCAAGACTCTTATTACGAGGTTGTGAAAACATGAACTGTTCATTTAATTCTCTTCCTCTATCGTATTCATGAAGAGAAGACACAGTAAATACACCAGAAGGTGAATTTGATATTTGCAACTGCTCACTAGATGACAATTTTCTTTTCAATGAGCACCGGGTTACTCTTTTATATTTCTTTTTACACTGAGAGAACATTGATGTTTTTGATTTTAGAATTTTCTCATGATCTGTCCTTTTTAAGTGCGGATATCTTTCACTTTTTCTTGATTTTCCATCATCAACACTCTCACAACCATCTTCAGAATCACTATTTCTTAAATTTTGATGACAATCAAATGGAAACTCACTGTTTTGCACTGATTTCTGTATCCTAGGATTACTGTTCATTTCCACAACTATTGGTTTCACTGATGAACTGTCTAAAGGTAAAGAATCAGATAAGATGCATCTATGCAAGCCTTGCTGAAAATTTTCAGATTTCCTCTGAAACATAATCTGCCCTAAATGACTCTGTATTTCAGAACCTGAATTATCAGACTGTTCAGAAGTAAGAAAATCATTCCTCTCTCGCAATAAATTAATAATTCTCTGCTTTTCTGCAAAATCTTTTCCATCATTTGCGATTAGCCAGAGAATTAACTTTCTCCAAAACTTTTCTCCATCATCTACATCAGTTATTTTTGTTGGTGATACACACCCCCACATAGATAAAGTCGAAGTTTGTTCTTTATGTTTCTTAGCATATTTATTGACTGTGATTTTATTTGCTTTATATTTTGAACCAGTAGAATTGTTTTCTGGATCAAAATTGCACTGTGTAGCAGCATCTAAATAAGAATTCTTTCTTTGTTGTTTACAAGAACAACACACACCCTCTGTCTGTGTTGCTGATTCTGAAAACTGAATAACTTTGACAGATGACTGGTCTACCACATTATCCACAGTACTTTCTTCATTTAATGACAAGGATGAGTCTGACATAACAGTATCATCCATTTCATTCTCTGAAACAATTGAAGTTAAAATTTCAACCAATACCAATTTTTGGTTTTATTTCAAAAATTATATTTTAAATTAACTTAAAAATAAAAAACAACTCTTTCAATCAAGATAAATATCATGGATTTGAAATATTTTTACTATAACTTGTTTAATTCCTGAAGATCAACTACAAACTTGGACATACCTGAAAAGTCGTCAAGTGGACTTGGTGGAAGAGGCGACAATGGATCAGGTACAGGAGACAACGATTCTCTGAAATCGGTATCAAAAGGTAGCAAATCATCATCAGTGTTGACAGATTGATCTTTAAACAACTTCAGTTTGCTTTCCTCTTCAGTTTGACAGCCTACATCAGCCTGCAACAGCAATTTTCCTTTCCCTTGGGCCTCAGTAACATCATTCTTCAATGTTTGCTTGTTAGAGAAAGGAATATTGCTTTTAAAATTTGTTTCACTTTGAACTTGTGTCACTGTAGACACTTGTTGCTCAGATTGTGAAGTAACAGAAATTGTTTGTGTGCTTCTTGAAAGAACCACACATCTTCTGTCAGATACAGCTTCTGTCTCCACAGTCTGAGTACCTTTGCAAACAACATCAAAGTCTACTTCAGTGTATGAATCCACATATTTCACAATTCTTGTTTGCACATATTTTTCAGCAACAACTTTTTCATTTTTCAAACAATTTGCACAGAAAGTAGACAGCAAATTTTCACTATTCATAGACAGTTGATGCAATCTTTTATCATCACTATTTTCATTGCCATTCATCTTTTTATCATATTTTGTATCTATTTTCTTCGATGAGAGTGTAGCTGAATTATCACACAACTTTTCATTAACAATTTTTTCAGCACCACATGGTTCATCAGTTCTGAGAAAAGTCTCTTTGTCATTATTTACCATATCTGAAATCAGAGAACAGCACAGGAAAAAATTAAAATGTTTGCTAGTAATTTGTTAAATCATCAACATTTGCAACACAACAACTGGATGCTTTAAAGTAGAATCAAATTTAGTTACTGAAAATATAATAAAAGAAATTTACACTCATGTTGGATGCTTCAATCTGAAATTCATTGGATGACAACTAGAAAGAATATTGTAAAAATTGAATAAATGACATTTACCAACCTGCACTCTTTGGTATTATTTTCTGAGAAACACTTTCTAAATCAGAATCACTATCAGAAAGATTAGATTCAAACCCTGTATCCATAGAGCAAACACTTGCAGGAATTCCATTATCTGGAGAGAAACTCCCCAGATCAAGATCATTTTCATTCTTCTGCTTCTTCTTCACATTCTTACTAGATTTCAATTTCTGACAAGCTGAGCCTAAACAACGTGAATAAATGATGCATTATTACACAAATGTATTTCTACGTTACTACTTCAAACTACCTATCCAACTAGCATCCAATCTTTTTTGATACCATTATTAAAGCTTTGGTGGTGGCTATTCCTTATTTTTTCTTTCTTTCAAAAGCAATAGTTTGCCTGGGAAACCAAATAATCTTATACAGTTTGTGCTAGTCCTCACCCTAATTTTTTTAATCAATCTATAGAATACACCAATGAAAAATATAACTGAATATTTTTTAACTTCTCTGATTATTTCAAAAAATTGTGTAAAAAAGAAAAACTTGCAATAACAATATTTGTTAAAACAATTAATCCTTTTTGAAAACAGTTTTATGAATGAACATGATTTTTAACTTACAAGTTTGCAGTTTTTTAATAATTTCACTTAGTTCACGCCATTGTTTTAATTTTACATTGTATTTTCTCCTCAATGACTTTTCTTCAGAAGTATTATTTTGCTTTTTCAGACCATCATTTTCAGCTGCAAATTTAAGTATAAACAAATGTGAATTCACAAAAATGATTTATTAAAGAACTTTCTTCTTAATATTTATCAACTTCATGTCTGCCATTCCTCACTTTCAAAACATAAATACCTTTAAGTTTTTTGATTTGTCCCTCATTTTCCTTTGTCAAACACTCATACTGCCGTACAATCGAATCACGGGCTGCAACTATGTTAATTTGTATATCCAGTTGTTTTTGAACGTTAAGCAATCTTTCCTCCAATTGCTCATACTTCTGAAAAGTTTAAAAAAATGCATTTGAATATCCACATTTGGAGAAAACTCCCATATTAAATAAAGTCAATTTAAAGGATTTCTGTGAAAGAGTGAGAATTAAATATCAACAAAGTGAAACATGTTTATAAATATACCTAACATGGAACATGTTGCATATAAAATGTCGAAATGTGCAAAGGTACTTGAGTTTTCATAAAATATTTGGCAATATATATTTTTCCTGGGGATATCAAAAAATATTGATAATAAAATATCACTTCAAAGATACTCATTTGGAAACATATAACAAAAGCTTTACTGTAATAATGATCAAATAAATATGCAATTACATGCAAATGCAGCAGATTTTGACAGCTTCTCAAAAGGCACTGGACAATATCAAAGTTGAGTTCCAGAGATGCTTCAAAAATGGAAAAAATATACTTCACAAGAGCATTGCATCTAATGGAGAGTACTTTGAAAGTGACTGAAGAAATTTTATAAGAAAGGTTATAAATAATTATTTAAAATGACAATCCAGTATCTTTTGGGTTCCCCTTCATATACATTGAATGTGCTGTATTCTCCAGGGAATACTCCTATATAAATAATTTTAAAAAATTGAAAGGAGCTGAAGTCGCAAAGCATTGTTTTAAAAGGGGTTGAAGCAAGGAAAAGGTTGGGAACCTCTGCTCACAGGCACTGGCGGAGGGGGATTAGACAAGGGCTACAGGGAGAAACAGAGGTATGGGAGATGGGAAGCGAGTGCATGTCTCTTGATATATCACCATAAAATTGTTAAAAAAAACTTGCATGGAAATCAATAAAACTTACAAATTTTGCACTTGGGTTTTTGAAACACCTCCAACAAACTAATATGTGGTTTAGTGCACAAGTGGAAAGATGACAAAACATGTATACAAACGAACCTCGATAAGCGAGAATTCATGGGATTGCAAAATCTTTTTCGTTCAATGAGGACTTTCACTGAACCAAGTTTTTTGTTTGTACTGAACACGGGTGGCTTTTCTAAATTACAGAGGTTTAAAAAATTCGGCAAATAAGTAGTGATAAATATGCATGTATTGTAAAGGTATTCTTTAGAATTTAGATTATTGCAAAAAGAAATAAAAAAATCTTGCACTAATATTTACTTAAAGAAATCCATAAATTTCTTCTGTATTTCTGTTTTTGCATTTTGTATATGTTTCTTCCAGTTCCTAAATATTATCAGATAGAGTTATCGACAACCGAGTATTTAAGTAACTCATGGAGATCTCAGTGCATTTAAAGCTTCTTGCTTTGGAATATTCTTTACTTCTGTAACCAAAATCTGTTATCGGTCGGCATCATCTTTACTGACATTTCCATCAGTAGACATGCTCACACAATTCTTAATGATATAGTCATCTGTGTATACTCCATTGGTAGCCACATCATCCTCAATATGTACAAAGTCTTCAAAGGTTGGCATTAACATACTGATTTCATGAAGCCCACGCTCAGTCCATTCCTCATTGCTAGGTCCAACTTCAACCTCATTTTTCTCTCACAGGGTGAACACAGCTTTCTTGAAAGCAGTTTTTGACAATAACTTACTGTGTTCCATGCTCACATTGACAATTTCTTGACTAGGCCTGAAATTGGTGTACTTCTATTGTTTTTTTCCAGACATGAAAGAGTATGTATAAATGATTTCTTTGTGATAAAGATGTTTGCTGGTGGTATTGACAGGCAGAACATGACATGCATGAGAAGTTTGCAAGTGTTGGTAAGTCCATATTGACAGCAGAGTCATCAATGAAAAGGACTTTTTTTTTTCATGCTATCTTCATTTCCTTGTCAACTGTTTCCTACCAATCTGAAAATATCTTTGTCATCCAAGCCTTTGTACTATTGGCATAATCCACAGGTAGTCTTAACACTTTTTTAAAATGTCTACGTCGCTTTGATTTCCTGATAATGAAAAGAGTTCATCCATGCCAGTCAGGTTTTCAGGTTGTATATATCATTTGAATATACCTACGGCTTTGCCTTCAGACTTACTTTCCCCAGCTGCTTTTTTGAACGCTCTATACAAGACTCTTTTCAAAACCCTCTAAACCGAGCAATTACCAGTTGAAAAGGTCTTATTTTCCAGTTTTGTATCAAAGTCTGGTCCGACGTTTTTTTTTTTTTTTTCCCCAACTGGTGTCCATCCTATGAAGAACGTTCTATATTGGGGGTTTTGTTCTTTCCACTCTAAAAATACTTTTTCAAAGTTGGGAAATTCAGAATGCCAACTCCTCTTTAATATTTCTATGTCCCTAAAAGCACTGAGACTTTATGTTTTTGATTTTATACTTTTATAAAAGGTAGATACTAGTAAACCATATTCATTCGGTATTTCATTTATCATTTTCCCACTCTCTAATACATTCACTATTTTAACCTTCCAACAGACTCGCAGCACCGTGCTTATCTTTATGCTTTTATTGCACTCAAAGGGAGTACAGCTATTTGACATGTCAGGGGCTTCAGTATTCTCACTTGTCAACATTCTCAACGAAGCACGGCAATCTCTGTCCCTTTGCTTTCTCTATCAGTCGTAAAGCAGATTTGAAGATAGCAACACCTGAATGCAACATTCTGTGCTCTACTGCACCCACTCCACTCAAGTAAGTATTTTTAGTATTCCAAATAAACATTTTACTTATTCAGATTGTTTGTTGACATGTATTTTCGATTATTGTAAGCAAAATCAAAGATGTTCACAGTTGCTTTTTGTGGATTTTTTTTTAATTACTTCAAGTTTGTTTGTTTTTCTCTTTGCTATGGGTTGAAACTCGTGTTAAAAGAAGAAATTAGGCTTCTTCTTGAGTTACTGGAAACTGTTTAATGAAAACCAATTGATGCTTTTCTGAAATTTAAAGACAGTAGGCTACTTCATTTAATCAATTTGTCTATTTAATAACAATTTTCTAGTTTATATTATTTTCTTTCTTATATTTTGTTTTAAGTTTGTTTTGAGTTTTTCTGAAACAATGTGTTATTTATTATTGTGTACCTAAAACTAGCCACATTTCTGTAATGAACTGTTGTCAGTTTTTATTCTTCTTCCTTCAATTAAATAATAGATGTTTAAGGTGTGCAAAAGACATCGATTCTTGAGTCAGCATGCTCCTAAGCGCCCGCTTTTCTGAGTATCAAAGGCGTACCCACTGGAAGGTTAAGTTTATTAGTTAACGACAACACTTGGATTTTTTCTTTTTATCATTTTTATTACATGCTGAACTTTTCTTCGTAACTGATACTTATCAACTGTAGTAAGTTTGACAATGGGTTGTTATACATGACTAATTATCCATTCACGTACAAAAACAATGTTCCACAAAATTTAAGGACACAAAAGCAGCTGTTAGTTTCACAAGTTTCACGATTGGGTCATAAATAGTAGAAGTTAAATCAATTGCTTCACCCATGGAATTTCACTTGCATTTTTATGCCGAATTACTTTTAAAGCCAAACTGAAACTTCGCTACACATTTCCAAGTTAAAGTGGATGCAAAGGCCTTTAGACTTCGCAATTAAAACACGCTTGAGTGTGTGCAACACAATTACCAATGAATTTTATGCAATAACACTTTTAGGAAAATTTTCTTATAAATCCATTGGATGATGAATATGAATATTTTTACTACATTCTGGAAAGCATTCACCCCTTCTACCATTGATTTCCCTGTTGTCTGCTTGGTGTGAAAAGCTGGTTAAAAGAACTTACTTAACTTGTACTTCTGTTCTTCATCTATTATCAATACTTATCAGACCTTTCAGGCAAAAAAAACTACAGAAAAGAAAACATTTTCTTCTCTCTCAGTTCTTGAACTGTCAAAAAAAGAAATGATGATGTCATGTTTACCGTAAACTTAATCCACTTTAAACTTACCTTCTCCCAGTCTTCTTTTGAAGATAAATGAGTGAACAATCTTTGCCTATAGTTTTGCAGTTGTTCAAGATTTATATTTTTCTCTGCTCTTAATTGTTCATTTTCAGTCAATGCTTCACTAAATTTACCCAGTAACTCACTGAAATAGAAAAAAATATATACATACATTAGCTTCTCCTCAACAAGTTAAATACAACTGAGAACTTTTGGAAAAACGTACTCTGTAAGAATTATTCTCTTCTTCAGAGAGAGAATGTTGTTTGAAGTGTCTTGATTGTTGGGTGAATTCTGTAAAACACAATCAATATTTGCATATAAAATGAACCATCGTTATGTCAACAACATAAGCAAATATATTGTTTCTTAAGAACAAACTTGTAACTTTTCTAGCACTTCATAATCTATAACGAATCGTAACACCGGATATTTCACTTACCTGCTCTCCAAATTCAGAGGCGAAAAACTCGTCGAAATCTAATTTTAAATATTCCATTTGTTAAAATTGCCTTTTTTCCAATACAAATATTGCTCTCCAACTCTCATTATAAACTAATACATAAAATCCGTGAATGCCGCATGCTGAAATCTAACCTATGAAGTTACCTCTCCCAATCTTTCCTACCGCGGCGAACGTTCCTCGACGATGATCACGAACGACAACATCAAAAACTTTGCACTCCACTCGTCTATACATTTTAAAACGCAAATGAAAATAATGTTTACAATAAAAATACTAATGTTCCGTTTTCATGCACTTGTATCTTTGAAAAAATGAACAAATTAAGTACCCAATATCGAAACGTGTCCCACGAAAAGTATTGTTAATTTGTGTCCACATACATTCTAGGTTGGCTATATTGCCTGCTGGTTCCATGCCTGTTCCGAAGTGGCTGAAAGCTCAAAACAAAATAAAAACATGACAAAAGACATTAGGTCATACCACGTGTGTGAAACTGGTGGCGGTGAACTGAATGGGAACGCGTAGAGAACCAGATCACTGAACAGCAGGGACCTAATTTATGTGTAATAACACCTATAAAATATGTTCGCATCTATGCAGTGATAAACTTGAAAATATGCCACACAAAGAATTAACGCATCATTACACTGTTTTTACTTCCCCGTACGCGTACGTTTATACGTAGTATGGTACGTAGTATAGGGAAAGTAATGTAATACTGCGGAAAATCGATGTAAATACGCATTTTGGGGTCCCCTGATACCGTACTCTCTCTCTCTCTCTCTCTCTCTCTCTCTCTCTCTCTCCTCTCACTCCTCCCTCTCTCTCGTCACGAATCCTTTGACATGTAACTGCTTCTCCACCGGCGGACCGGGTAAGAGTCGAAGGTGGAAGCACCTCTCGCCTCTGAGCCAGAGCCCCATCTGCGCATCATCACCCAACCCCTAAGGTCGATGCTCAGGCTCCTTCGGCCCGCTATGCTGCCCCATCCAGAGAGTATATTACCCCCATCTCCCAGTTGCCAGTTGATTCGCCGATCCCTTTCCCAGAAGTCAGGAGCACAGGTCACCTAGTTTTCAGAAAAACAGACAGGCATCCAATTTGGTGGGTTGCCATTGCCCTGACTGATATGTACTCTCTGGCCCTGACAGCCGACACGCAATAGTGCCTTTGCCCGTCCCCCACGTGCCGTAGCTGTTCTTTCAGTCCACGTAGAGTTGGTCTACAGAGTAAAAAAGGGAGAAATGGTTAGGAAATATTTTGAAAACAATCGGGAAAACAGGTAAGCGACAGTTAAGGTAGCATTTTGGCAATGGAATAAAGGGAATAGAGAAAAAAGAATGGGGAATGAAGGACGGATCTATTTTAGAGGGAGGGACAGCGGACAGCTGCTCCTGTTAGTTGCCTTTTACGACAGGATCCCGTGACGTTTTAGCGACACGACACCGTGGAGCTATTCTACAAAAACACCCGGACACCACAGGGTTTTATTATTATTATACCACACTTATTATTATTATTATTATTATTATTATTATTATTATTATTATTATTATTATTATTATTTCATACAATATATATTTATTTTTTATTATTTTTTACTATCAGGACTAGACTCCTCTTTCAGATAATGCAGAGCTACGAGTCATTTTTAACGCTTTAACAAACACGACGTTTCTCACTCGGTCAATCCCCGTTGTTGCCCTGCAGCTAATGAAACATAAGTAGGATGATGATCGAAATTATCCGTTCATTGTCATTAATCTGCTTTATCAAAGCAGTCTGGTTCATGTTAACCTATAGAATTCCACCTCCCTAAAAACTCTAGATCCGCTACGGGAAAACGTATAACACCATTATCACAATTAAAAACACTAACTCTTATTGACAGAGAATCATAACTAAGAAGTAACTTACCGGTTAACGGAAAGCATGCCTTTTCATCACCTGAACAACACTTCTGTGCCTGTTCTTGACATTTCAATAAAGAAATACTTTGCAGATGGTCAGTAAGTTTTATCCACTGCAGATTTCATGCGTTTCATACCCGTTAATATTGTCCAAGCAAACACATTAATATAAATGAAAGCGCATTGCTACTCGCATGCAATAGTTGGGAGACTTGAGACACAACTGCAGACGCAAAAGGACGCTTATCTGGGCTGTCTGCGCATACGGGCTTGGGATATTATCTCTACCTCCAGTCCTGAGGCTGCGACTTCCGGACGGTGGCGTCGCGAGAGCCCAACAACCATCAAAGGCTTCTCTTGCGCTTTGTGAGAAGCTCTGTTCCAGCATTCGCCTGGAACTGCTCGGAAGAAACCACGGATCAGAGCAGCCGACCTCAAGCAGGCAGGCAGCCAGGACAATTCTCATCCACACAGTGGCATCTTCAGAAAATTTTCTCATTTGTCCAGAGGAAATTAAAATACTTGCTGCAAAGTTCGGAAATTTTACCTAGCAAAAAAGGTTTATGATTGCAAATAATAATAATAATAATAATAATAATAATAATAATAATAATAATAATAATAATAATAATAATAATAATACATATTATATACACACAGTTCCTCCGTTACATTTATCACAGATTCAGAATCTACACTGTTCAGATTCTACCTTTTGAAGCACAATAAAAAAATTAAAAACTTACAATGAACACGTAACTATTCCAAAGAATTAATAAAAATAAATAAAATGCATATATTCAAGAAGGAAAAGGGAATTGAAATTGTATTTATTTGTTGTTCAGTCCGTTATTTTAAATTAAGGACACCACAAAGATAAGTGTAAAAATGTCTCCACAGAATCATTTTATTCACTACGACGTTTCGGAAACTGTTTTGCCTCTCTCTTCAGGTACAACTGAAAATTTAATTACAAAATTTTACATGAAGCCAAAATGAATTACACAAAATTAACAAATACATCTATACTGTACCCAATTCAAAGAAAGCTCGCCTGTTATAACAGAAAACTAAAACTAATATATATACAAAAACTATATATAATATTTACAAATTAATTGGAATTGAAATTGGTTTATGAAGAAGCGCGGGTGTGATCTCTTTAAGCGATGACAGACAAGTATTATTCCGAGTATAAGTTCAGCCCGTGATGTTCTCAGCATGTTACACCGGCAGCCTGTGGTGCTGCCTAGTGCACGTTGTAGAAAGAAATGTGCCAATAAAACCGAATTCTTCCAACGTAAAAAATTATATTTGAGCATCAACGTTGCAACAATAAGTCAATTATTGAATGACATTAAATCGAAAATATCTTTTTAATATTTCTCTTCTGGATTGAGATCTGGAGCTTTGGCATGGTTGTGCAACCGTTAAACCTAATCACGACGTATATCTGCATAATAATACAAGCCCCAAACTAGTGATGTAATAAAATGACACAAACCCCATTTTAGTTAGTTTTTTTTCTTTTCGGTTGCTAAGCAGGACTCTCGGAAACTACCTCTCCCCTGGACACAATTCGCAGTCGAGCTCGTCGGTGTCGTGCTCCCGAACGTCGCGAATAACCCCATGAGGTAGCCCTTAGGCCCACCTCAGTTCTGTAACATTACATTTCCATAGTCGAATGTGGGCCCATCTCAGTGCTCGTATAATGTAACATACTCGCAAACGAATTTCGAGGCAGCTATTTGGGGACGCGTGGTAAGGGATTAGTAACAGGAAATCGACTCGCCACAAGAGGGAGAGAAGGGTTTTTCCTAAAAGCCAGCACGAGGAAAAGGGAAACACGAGGCCTTGGGGTCCTCTGGTCTTAAGGTCAAACTTCATAGAGAGCAGAAGGGCATTGCGGGGGCGGCGAGACGTTGTAGGTCACGGGAGCCTCGAGTATATAAGGGAGTGCACAGAGCCAGTGAGTGGGTTCTGGAGACAGTGGGAGAACCTCGTGCAGTTGCACAAAATCTTGGCGCCACGTCGGTGCAGCGGCGAGCAGGGCTGACGAGGCAAGTCACTTGTTGACGAGCCTGTGGAGGACTTTGCGTCCTTGGGTGACTGCGGTCACATGGGAGCGATGCTGTGTGCGTGTTCCGAGGTGAGGCGTGGTTGAGTGCCACTACTCATGCCGATTCTCAATCGGGTAAGATCGCTCTAAACCATCAGTTGTTACGCCTGTACGGACTTTGTGTCAATTATGCGCACAATAACCGGCCAAGACAAGGAATTAATGTGTTGAGTGTACAATTTGTACAGACGAGACTAGACATGCTCCTAGTGCCACAAACACAATTGAAAATATCCATGTGTTACACGGGAATCGCGCACCCGGTGTTCGTGTTCTGGTGCACACCTGCCCCAAGGCCAGCTGACGTTGCCATACAATTTGTAACGGTGACGTTAAATAACAATTACTTAAAAATTACTAGATATAATAATACTTATAATTCTGACTTATTTTTGTGTTTATTTGACCAACACTGAATTTATTTATCCCAACACTATTCGTAGCAGTCAGAGGCGCCCAGAGTGACCAACCCCGACCACCCGGAGATGAGGGTGGGAAAAAATAAAAAAAGTCAAACGGGAACCCGTACTCACTGCCCCTTATACATACGTATGTATGGAGTAATATACGTAGTATACGAAACGTTACGTAATGCTGCGGAAAATCGATTTCGAGATTTCAACAAAAATACATGTTTTGGGAACACCTGATACCAAAATAGTTTTGTTTTTTTAAACGTCCGTCCGTTTGTCTGTCCGTTCGTCTGTGAACCACTAGCGCCTAACCCATACGTACGATGAGATTCTCCGGTCGATTTGGCTCCACACGAGGCGCCGCGATTTTGAAAAATTTTCTTCAAAATTTGGGGGTACTTTACATGAAACCCTCCGGGCATTTTCAAAATTTTCTCAAAAACGACTTGAAATGTTTTCTTTAAATTTCTTGTAAGAATAGAGTAAAATGCACTGATGTAGACGGCATAGATCAGATTTTCACGGTTAACTCTGAATTTTCCAAAATTGCGAAAGATAGAATTTTGCCACGTAATCCTACAACTACAAAATTGAAGATGGAGGTTTTTCCTTCATATGAAATTGGCCGTCAATAATTGGTTCTTTCATTAAGATCGTGTACATTTTTTCAAAATTTCAGTAGTATTCGCAAAATATTGCCTGCTATGTGTGATTTAAAAAAATTACAAAAACAAGATTTTATCAAAAACGGCTCCAAATTTATTTTTAAAACTTTTACTCGTAGTAGGGATGGTGCTAAATGTACTCTATGAAATGACGTAAACTCCATACTCGTCCATTCTTATGTTTATTCAAAAATTACATAAATGTAGTTATTTGTAAATCTGGAGGATTGTTATTCTAGAAGGTCCTCCAACTACCAACACTATTAAATATCTGTTCTTTGGGACACACGGTACCTAAATCCGGTCCAGGCTGAAGAGATTTCCATCGTTTGATTGATCCATTGATTTATTAGTGCTTCTGGGTACGTTAACTGCTAAGGTGGTTGGTCCCGTAAGTGTTGTGCATTTTTATCGCAGATAGCGGTGATCTTCCCCCCAGGATGTCGATGTACACATCGATAGGTGGTGTTTTTTCCCACCAGCAGGGAAGCGCCTCAGCCGGAACAAGCTGCAGGCAGGGAAGGCAAGACGAAAGAGCGTGTGGTCGGTTTGTTAAGATACTGCTCCGGCATTCGCCTAGTGTTGATCGCAGAAACCAGGGAAAACTACCGATCAAAGCAGCCGGCCGCTAGAATTCTCCTCCAGAAAGCGACTGAATTCGACCTAGCTCATAAGCCAGCGTTGAAAATACTGCTACCATCGGGACGCCAACCCTACGACCTCGCGGTCAGAGGCAGTGCAGTGACAACAGCTGCGCCGTCTAAGCCGCTGAACCTCTTCGTGGCCTCACTTTCATTCCCAACTCTTTTTACGGTTGCGCCACTTTTGCAGCCTTGCCATTTTTCTCAACAGCTGTAGATGCGCTTGCTGGCAGGGAATTTGGGAGTGGGGCATTATGAAGAGTACCGCGCGTATACAACATACGTTACGAAATACGAGGAAACAACCCCTCAACCTCCACATTGATTATCTACATTTTTGCTGTCCGTGTTCCTGTGAAACGAACTTAGTGTTGAAATATAGGTGAGCATCGATCAAGAGTTTGTTTATGAACTTCGATTGTCGTCATGGTAACTCCCTTGACCTTGTGGCGAAGGTCCTAGCAACAACCCCTCATAGCACGGCACTAGCAAGGTCGAGGGATTCAGTATTCTCGAGGGTGTCAGGCTGTGAGCAGAGAGGTTCTTTCAGACACGTTATTTTTTTATCTGGAGAAGAAGCAGAAAGTGACTAACGATGGATCAACCAAACATGCCCGATTACGTGAAGAGTTTGGATCGCTCGCGACATCATGCTGGGCATACTGAAGAATGCGGTCCGTGTGAATGCGCAAAGGCCCTTGAAGACTTGGTCGACGATCATGGAAGGCAAGATATGGAAGAAAAGACATTGGCACTTATTAAACCTGAAGGCGTACCGCATTTGAAAGAAATTTTGCAAACTATAAAAGATGAAGGATTTGACATCATACAGGTATAGCCTATGCTCACAAATAAATTATTTTCCTTCTCAACAACTATTTCCAGACCTTTCTTTTTTATTTAGAACAATTTGTTTTTACATGTTTCAGAGACGCAAGGTATTTCTCACACCTGAACAGGCAAGTGAACTGTACAAAGACCACTATGGACAAGCATATTTCCCTTTACTTATTTCCCATATATCCAGTGGACCCATTTATGCACTTTGCTTGTCCAAACCAAATGCTGTCAAAGAATGGAAGAGAATAATTGGACCAAGGAGTGTTAAAGAAGCAATTCGTGAATATCCAGACACTTTACGAGGCAGATTTGGAGATCCTTCAGAGGACATGCTAAATGCTGTCCATGGAAGTGACTCTCGGGCAGAGGCAGAAAAGGAAATTCACTTTTTCTTTCCAGAAAGTGAGTAAATAGAGACTCTCAGTACTTTGTTCAATATCATTGTGATTGCTGTAATTCAAAAATGTAGAACAATTATTTATCATAATAATTTGAATTCTCATCCTTTCAATTACAATTTATATATGTCACATACAGTTGTTTTTGACCTAAATAAATCTACTTATAAGTTATCCCTTAAAATATAGACTAAATAAAATGGTTCTGAAGAGTATAAATTTCACCATTTAAGCTTGCATAACACTTATTTAACTTAAAAACTATATTTCTATAATTAAACAAGCAATTTTCTCCTGTTGTCTACCAAATGGTGATTAAACACTTCTTAAACTAATATCTGAATCACATATTATTCATACTAATTTAACTCACTGGTAGGAGTGGAATAAAATAAATTCTATGTGGATCTAAATTACATCAATGATATTTAAATTGCCAAATTTAGTTTTGACAATTGTATTAATTCCTAATGCTTTGTCAACCTTTAGCTTTAGCAATTACTTTCACAAATTTTCCGTATTATATTGTCATTGTTCTCTAAAACCATTTTCTCAGTTAATTAAGGCATTTCAACTTTTCTTCTGCAATGCAATAACTTAAGAGTCTGTGTATTTATATTTCAGTGATTTTGGAGCCTTTACTGACAGGTGATAAATGCACCGATTATCTTGCAGACAACGTCAACCCTACTTTACTGGAAGGACTCTCAGAACTCTGTAAGCAAAAACCTGTTGACCCTATTGTATGGCTAGCTGATTGGCTGCTCACCAATAATCCTAACAAACCCAAAACCAACAAAGTTATTACAAGAGTGCCAACATAAATAAAATATTTTTCCGTGATGTGTTTGTGCTGCAAATTGTATCTTGTATTAGAGTAACAATCCAGCACGTACTTATAAGATTGATGTTGTATCTGTTGTATCTCAACGGCTTTTAATCAAGCATCTGTACTTTCAAGTGCCTTTATTCTACAGCTGAAGAGCAATTGAATACTTCAATTCCACTTCAAAGTAGGTCAAAAATATAACCTGAGGAAAGACAAAGAATACTAAACATATGGGTCCAAGATACTTTGCCAAATTTAACATTAGGAAACAGGGTAACAGGGATAAATTAGTATATAAAGTACTAAACATGCCAGTTTTATACTTTTATTCTTTGTTCATGTACAATAAAAGTATCTATATTTCCAAGGAATAATTTTAAATACATTTGAGAACAATGTTCAATCATTTCAGTGTAGGGAAAGATTAAAACTAATTGGAATAACTAGTTGATCATTATCACAGTACACATTCACATTAGTTAAAAATTATCAGAAGAAATATATCAAGATTCAAAAATTAAATCACAACACAAGTGCCTTGACTGAATAGACTTCTTTCTTTAAAAAAAAACACACACACACATACAAAACAAAATTATTTCAGTCTCCTTATTTTTCACTACTCGGCTGGCTTATCTGCTTTCCATACTCTTTCTTGACAATGAGCAATTGCCTACAGAAAAAAAATTACAGAATTGCAGATTATTCAGTTCATTTACAAAAATTCATGCACAAATTAGTGGTATATACTTAGAATTTTTGTTTTTAATTATAGTGTATGTTTAATGTAATTATAAAATGATGTGAAAAGTAGTGTAAGGGTATTGTAAGGCAATTTGTAATATTGTAAACTTATAGAATTTGTTCATATTAAGATTTTAGAATATTTATAGACTACTATTGTGAAAAATGAAATGCTTTGCAAATAGAGCTAAATAATATTACTATAGAGCTATACAAAATGTTTCATAACTCAATTAAATTGACAAACCTTACATGACCTGCCTATTAACCTAAAATAACAATATCTTTGAACCTAAAATCTGAAAAACTTTCCAAATTCAAGTTCCTTTATGTAGTACATTAAGGAATAATGTTAGAAAAGATGAAAAATTCTGTGTCTCAATGTACGAAATAACAGAGCCCAAGAGGAAAGAAAGAAAACCTTACTTGGTTTTTTTAATTCTAGTTCACATAATCTTAGCATTATGGAACTTTCCATCAATAAAGATCTGAACAATTTGTGAATGATGAATAAATAAACTAATTTCAAAGATGCATAAAAATTGAAAGGAAACAATACAGCAATGCATTACGTCACATTAGATATCCAGAAATTTGGAAAAAATACAAAAACATCTATATTACTAATCTCCAATGCATGCCAAAAAGCAATTGAAAATAAACAATGCAGTCTCCAGCCTTTTGGCACGTCTGGTTTCGTTAGGTACTCAAGAACTTGGCAAAAATACAAAAACACCTACATTACTCATTTCCAATGTGGGCAGATATTGAAAGAAAATCATATAACCTGCAGTCCTTTGAGAAATTTCAATAATTTCATTAGATACCAAGGAACTCACAAAAAATTGAAATAAATCTATATTTAAAAAAAATAATTTAAATATAAAAATGTCAATTTCCAATTCATGCTGAAATTAAAAGGAAACTCAACACTCTTCAGCCTTTTGAGCGGCCTGATTTTATTAGTTCCCCAGAAATTAGGAAAATATCCAAAAATTGTACATTGAAAAATTAAGTTTCCAATTGACTGAAAATTCAAATATTTGATCATGTTATTCCGCCCTCTCCATTCTGTGTAAACCAACTGAATTTTCCTACACTGAATATGACTGAATACTCAGTGTTCTAGCACTTGCAACGCAGCTGACATTTGACAGCAAGCCTCCAAAAGAAGATGCAACCTGCCTTTAAGCATCTGTCATTAACATGTTGTCTTCTGGAACACAACTTTTTTCTATTATTATGTAAAGAAATGTGCTGCACATCTGTATATACTATTGCAGTATTCACTGTCACAGACTGTTTTTGTTAAAATATTTAATTTTCTGTTTGTTATATGACATATTATTGTTGTTCTTGAGCAGTGTGCATGCTACTTTTGGGGAAAAAATAAAATGCTCATGAAACACAGTGCACAGATGGTACTTCTCCCCCATACGTCACACAGTTTTTACTGTTCTTTAAGTAAATAAATCAAAAGTAACATTGGTAGCACTTCCTGAGATAAGTCCAAGAGTGGAGTGTGCCAATGTTAAAATAGTGTTTTTTATTTTGCTCATAATATTCAAATTCAGTTATGAATTTTCCTTCCTTGTAAATTTTTCCCTTCAGTTCCTTGAAAAATGCGTATAAAGTTTAACTGTTCTTTCTAGTATACCATGGTACTATGGAAATAATCATTACTTCATCTTTATTGATTTTAGCGTGCTCTTAGCAAGTTTAGTACTTACCCCGCATGCCTTAGCATGAGAGACAGATTGACACCAATATCCTGGTCCCCAAGTACACCTTTTTCCACCAAGCAATCCAACAACTTGTCTGTTTTGAGGGCAGAGACCAAGTTTCTCACAAATGTAATTGATTGGAGTTTCTCTGGCCAAGAGATTCAGAATGCTTGGTCCATAAATTTTAACCATAGATTTGCACTGTGGAGTAAACGTACAATATAAGCTTAACAGTGAATTATTTCATGAGGAGGTATTTAAACTTCAGGTATTACTACACCCCTCCCAAAGCTGAAATTACTAATGAAATGGTAATCAATCCGTGAAGTTAAAAAACTATTAAACATTTCTTTCTGAGAAGAGTAGTAAATGTAAGTACCACACACTGCATAAATTAGTAAAAACTTTTAACTTTTTTTTCACATTCCATTTACAATGAAATAATACCTAAAACACACTAAGCACAAGAAGAAACCAATTAGAAATGGTTTTAAAAAATGCAAGTAAGTATTTATAACAAAGTAAATCAATAAATAAATAAAAGATAATATTACAGCAAGCATTGCCAATACATGGTAGTTTTGCAGTTACTAGCTATGAAAGTTCTAATACTAATTAAAACTAAGTAATACATGCATATCTTTACCTTATCCTCATCCTTCTTTGGGATTAAAGTACACATTTTCTGTAAAGCCTTTGCTGCATCTTTATCAATAGTAGGATCTTGCATTGCACCTTCCAGTGCACCCATAAGTGCATCACACATTACACACTGATCCAATGAGCTATCTGTAAGTTCATAACATCAGGCAATTAAGGTCGAGTCAATGTGAGAGATTCATTATTCTTTTTGCTCAATTTGTAACTGCCCTTTTTTGTGCAAAAGCAAACAAAACAAAAAAATACCTGGAACATGTTGCAATTTCGACGCACAGAGTTTTATTTCTGTACAGACTTCTTTCGGATCAATATTTTGTGCCAACAAAGTAATAACAAGATCAGCATACTGATCAACAAACTTATTGCACTCGGCAACCACAGTTTTAGGCATCCAATTGCATACATCGTGAACAACATGTTTAATCTCATCCTGAAAATACATACAAAATGTTGTCATTGATATTTAATTACATACACAAAAGTTCCTATAAAAAGTAATTTCCTACCTCAGTTGTTTTATCTTTCAAGGCAGAATCAATCTTTGAAAGCACAAACTCGCACAAAACACAAGATGTGGAATCTTCTACATTTGATTGCATTTGTTCTAGCTCTGCATTAACAACTGTTTGAGGCAATAATCTCTTTATTGGTAACTGAACATCATTGGTCACTATAAAAAGAAACAAAAATTGATGAAGATTTACATTTAAAGACACCAACCTTGTATTTAAACACATTAAATTCACAAAGAAATTTAACATACTAATTTCATCAACTGAAGAAACAGGTGCTGATGAAATGGAAGGAGGATCACACAGTTTCAAATATGAACACACTTCCTGAGGAGTGAAATCTGCCACTATCATATCCACCAATTCCTCAGAATAGTTTTCTACAAATGTGCGACATTCACCAACCAAGGATTTGGGAAGATCTTCACACAGTTCATCCAATGCTTTCCTTATTCCCTCCTAACAAGAAAGGAAAAGATCATGACTAATTTGTCTAGGAAAAGTTTACAGCAGATGTATAGTAGACTTAACTGGTACAGAAAGAAAGCTGACCCTACTAGTTTAAAACCTGTTTTTCAGAAACAATGTCCAGAAAATGTAACTTTTTCATCATAAGCAATAAACTGAAAATCAATACTACAAATAAAAAGTGCCAAGAATTACATCTATTTTGCAAACAAATTTTATTATAACCCATTGTAAAATAAAATTAATTAGTTATTTAAAGTTTGTAACTATATTGTCCTATATTTTTCAATAAAAAAAAGAACAACAACAAAGTCCAAAAACGTAGTTCTTAAAAATTGCATTTAACAAATTGAAACCCAAAGCCCATCACATCCACCCAAGGTGTATTTTTAAAATCAGGATGGTGAAACTTAATTTTTTAATTTGTAACAATGATGATAAGAAATAAATTGGGTTAGGAAGAAAGGCAATTCATGCCATAAAGAAAAGCTTTGTTACAATAATATCTTTGAATCCTGACTGGTCTGTAAGGGTTGCAGCACACTAGCCACTCTCTTTGGTAAATACAACAATTGTTTCAAATTATCAGCTATTTATTTATTTGTTTAATTCATCACTCAAAACGCTGGGAAAGGACATTACTTTTGCAGAGTTCGGCTTTGATATAATTAAAGTGGTATGTTCTTGCCAGTTGCTAGTCGAACACCCAAACCATTTATTACATATATATTAACAACTGCTAGTAAAGATGGCCTGAGCATTTGTAAGTAGTTGAAAGTTGTTCTAGAAAGGCCATGTCTATTAATAAATTTAGTCACTCGCATGATTTTTCAGTTTCATAAGTTGCCAAAACCTAATACAGATTAGATGGTCTTTGCACCTTTACTTTTCTTTCTTTCTGTATTGAATATTGGTCCAGTGTTTTCATTGAAAGTGAATTTTGCAAGCAAATAGTTTGTGGTTGTGTGTGGTATAAAATTGTAAGTTGGGGCTGAGAGAAAACCACCGTAAGAGAAACAGTGCTGACAATAGCACGATTTCTACAGCATAACTCCTAGACTAGAGAATATCCAGTAAGATATGTTACATGTAATATCTGATTCCACAAAAATTGACTACATATTGAATAAAAGAAAAATGCTCTTTCCCTTCATAACTTCTTCAATAACTTAAAAAAACCTATGCCTGCAAAAGTTTTTTTCCCTAACAGCCTGTACTAATTTAAACTTCTTTTATTTAAAAATTATTCTGGTAACAGCCAAATTTTGTCTTACCAACTTGAAGGACAGAGGTTTTAATTTCATTTAAAGTATTTTTAGAGGGTACTTCAGTGTGGTCAATCTAATGAAAATTCTACCATTACATCAGTGCCTATGTTTATTCTCAAGAGATATTGTGTCTGGCGTGTGGCGTTTTGAATGAGAAAATTCAAAGATGTCCCACAGCATGATAATTTGTGTTGAGTGCATGTGCTAAAATGTTGGCCATTTTCTTTCTTCAAGTTTGCAAGATTCACAGCACAGAGTAGTGCCCTTGGCAGTGCCTCATAGATCCACCATCTGTCAAGTAGTTTCACACCACAAAACTTGAAATAGTCAACAGATGTTGCTTGAAATGAAAAATTGGACATAAATGTTTATACTGTTACATTAAAAGTGGTGGCTACACATTTCCTGAAATACATTTCTCTAACTTTGGGTTGTTATAAATTTGTTAGCACCATGCACTGGAAAAGCTGAACATGTTACTGTTTATGGCACCAGCCACCACTGACTTATTTGGAGAACTTAACTTTTGACTGGGTATTAATATTGTGATGGACATTCATGAACAATAGTATTGACTCCCGATATGTCATTTTCCATTTCTCTTATTGATGAGTCCTGATAAAAAAAAGTGGATAAATCATATTCCTACATATGGAAAATTGCATCCTCTACAACACATGGTGTAGCCTGAATACCAGTTTTATGGGTTCTTGAAACGGCAAACTCAATTGACAGCAAAACGTCTGTTTGTCCATCTGTGGTCAACGCTGGCACCTAAACCGTCAGCTGATTTTCTCCACAATTGATATTCCTCGATTGATCTGTAGAAACTCGAGGCTTTTCGAGTTCGTTACATTCATGTGTAGTAATTCAATACCTATTGGAACTATTTATCCACTTTTGCTGCATCAGTATTAGTTTTTGCATCAAAAAATTACTGTTTTCTGTCGCAACATTATATAACTTCCTCTGCATTAGACATAAATACGTACGTATACAAGAATTTAAAAAAATAAAAATAAAAAGAAAGAAATGACGTAAAAGACTGGAAGCACTCTACATATCAAGTTGTGGGAATAGAATGCATTGTAAATATAGGCTTTACCACAGCACCATCAAAATATTACATAAAGGCAGGAAAATGTAAAATGCACGAAGGGGCAAACAGGGCTTTACTGTAAATGCATTTTGAAAAGAATATGACAATAAAATTGATATTTTAAAATGTGTTGTGAATGTGTAATTTTAAAATGTGATGTGAATATTTAATGTTTCAATAAACTTTAATAATATATAAAAATATTAAAAAATAAATGGACATGCATATAAGATTCAATACTTCGTGACATAGATATTTCAAACATACCTCAGTTTTATTGTCCTTGAGTTTAGTTACTAATTCTTCAACAGCAAAGAGGCACAGAGGACAAGTTGGTTTATCATTGACAACATGTGTTAAGTCCACCAGCACTTGAGACTCAGGGCACAGACCAAGTTTTGGACACACCTGAAATTGATTTGTTCTTAATAGACAAATTATTTTAATTGTTTTCAATAATATATGTTATATGCTTCTCCTGTCTGGTCTCCTTTTTATGCTATATCAATATTAATTTTAACTGAGGAGTTTTAGTTTTGGAAAAGTCCATAGCAATTTCCGGTAATAGAAAGCATTGGGAGATGTTCACAAAGAAAAGTTTGTGTGCAATAAGAAAATTTATAACCAATTCCATAGTGTTCTCTAAGAGTGCAATCTGTAGCTCATAGTTTACAAGCTCTACAGAAATGTAACTAATTAACTTGAAACACACAACTTGCTATATTTTTATTTATAGGCTAAAGATTAGCCAAGAATCTGACAACAGATCAATGCCTACAGACCGAAATAAAGTAGGACTTGACATGTTTACAGTAAATATCTAATTTGCATTATTAACATTATTTTTCATTTAGTTAACTAAATATGCTCATTAATTACATGAAAAATCATTTATTATCTCTATGTTTATGGCAAATGTGCAATTAAAACTTAATCTTGCAATTAAAAGTCCACAACAGCCAATCAGAACTCAGAAAACTGAAAGAAATAATTTAATTATGTATCTACAACACAGACATAACCAAAGTATTCCCAGGGCCATGAAACGAACAAAAATATACATCACACATTACGTTCATCAAAAACATAATTAGCGAATGAAACAAAATTATTTAATGGATGTAGGAACCTACCATAGTTTCGGCAGAGCGGATCCACATGCACAAATCAGACAAGATTCAGAAACAGACGTTGAGATATTTCATTCGCGATCGCACAATAGGGACTGAAACAGTTTGCCTGTGACAATCTTCGATTTTCGCCTTTCCCAAAGCCTGAGCAAATTTAAAAATAAATTAGTTTCTTGAATTGTGGAATTTGTTTATAAATAGATTTAGTAAAATCAGTTGCAATTACCTGTCTTCTACCTGATTATTATTATTATATTATTATATTATGTGCAGCTGCCATGTGACGTTGTGCAACGATGTCCAGTGCCGGTGAAGTGTTGGTGAAGTTTGAAGTTTGGTGGAGTTCTTATGAAAATTGCACGGTGAAATGTTCATGTATTTTGTAACGTTTGGTAGAGTTTGTATAGTTGTAAGTTCTGTAATGTTTAAGTTAGGTGTATTTCTGCCACCAAGTCCTTCACACTTAATTGCAGAATTATTAATAAATCTAATCCAATCTAATAAATATTATACTACCAAATATAACCTTGATTGTCTGTCTAAGAAGTAGTAATAAGTTAAATTAGAAATTATTACCACACTCATACTTGGCATCAATCATGCTAACCCAGAAGTTGTTTTGTGTTATTGCACAGAAATGCTTACTTAACCTATTTGATATTTAACATGAATTATGTGTAAAACATGTTTATGCGTAAAACTTGAAAAATGTAATCATCAGTTGTATTACCTGTTCTGAAAAGTAAGCCAGCAAAACATCTAGCCAGAACTGAATCATCTTTCTCCTTTCCAACATTAACGTGTGATGTTCTCTAATACACGACCTTACTTTTCATACGAAGTAAGGTTTTCATGGATTAGTAAGCTTTTTCTAATTTTTCAATTGGAATACGTTAAATATTTTTCATTTTCAAATGATAAGAATCATTACTCTCTAAGACACTAAGGTGATCATAAATATACACCGCAAGGCCTAGTAAAAATCTGTCTTGGTCAGAACCTAAATGACGTCTTCAGATACGTACATCAAATGGTAAAGAATGATTGTATTTCTCAAACTTAAAATTGTTCTTGCATAGAAACAAAAAAATATTGAACATTACATGTGGATAAAGAGGTATAATTGCACTCATGGTAAATAAGAAAACTCACTCCTATCCTCGCTTGTTTCCTTGAACATACTATTTATGCAATTACACCCCCCTTTATTCACTTGTTTTGTTAATTACTAATATTAAATTAATTGTTTCTCCATTAATTTCATAAGACTGAGGAGGTTCAAAGGTTCCTCTCTTGCAACACCCACACCAGTAAGCTCAAAAGACATTACCTGCGATGGATCTATTTCTTGAGCCAACAAAGCCACAAGGGCATCACCATAAGTGTCAACGAATGAGCGACACTGATCATCAATGGTGTGAGGAAGATGATCACAAGCTTCACCAACAACTTTGCGAATTTCAGACTGTCAAACAGAACACAAACTTAAATACTTCAAGAATTGTATTTAATAATAAATACTATATTAAAAAATTATTTCTAAATAGCTTTCTTGGAGAGAAACCTTATACTGTATTAACGGAAATAACTAGATCAGTTTGTTCCTTGCTACATTAAACAGTAAAACACTATCAGTGAACGCCTTTCCCATTCACAACCATGCATAACTAAAGTGAATTCAGAGAATATTTATCATTTCTTGAACATCATTTAATTAGCAAACTTATTTAGGGATTGAAAAACTTCACTTCAACTAATGAAATTATAACATTGGCAGTAACAAAAAAGAATGTAATAACTACAAAAATAAATGGAATGGTGATTAATTACATGACTTCTACTTCATTTATGTTGCAATAAAAACATCATTATTTTAGGAATAAAATACTCCAGCTCACCTCAGTTGCAGGGGAAGTCAGAGCAACTTGAAGGTAATGCAGTAAATATTCACAGAATGTGCATAATTGTTTGTTGGAAACATATGTGACACTCTGAGGCAGCATTCTCTCAACTGGCAAAGGAGCAGCCCATGAATTACCATCAGCAATTCTGACACCTAAACAAATTACTCTCAGTGAATTTACATGAACTTACTCCGAATACAATACAACATCACTTACAAATAATTAGAATAAAACAGAAAACATTTAATTTTTTAATTGTAAGAGCAAATTAGGCACATTGATGAATTTACAAGCTGGCACTAGTGTTCAGTCTTTCATATGAGTTTGGCAATTCTTCAAAATTGAAAACTGTTACTTGATTCAGTTTTTGAAGTACAGTAAAAGATTGAGTCCAGTACACCCTTAGAGAAGAGTGAGGGGGGAGGTGGGAGGAGAGAGAGGAATGGGTGGTTGTCTCCCTTACAATTATAAAAAACCCAAACTATTCTGTGCTAGTGTCACTCCTATAAACTATCTGCTGGGTCCTTAACACACAAGGGGAAACTCTACAAAATCTCATATATAAAAGACAATGTTTGTTTGTTGCTTGTACTTAATGTGCTGCCGTATCATTCAACCGATTGCAATAAAACTTTGTCAACTTATTGTTTGCACTTTCTGGAAGAATAAAGGCATAGTACGATGGGAATGTACATATGCCTGCGCATATAGATGCACGCTGATGATTTTATGGAGACCCAAGTGTCCCTGTTCAGGCTCTCTGTGCAATGGCGCTCTAAGTAACCCACAGCACACTGAAGAATTATGAGTGTCTGCCCCTGCAATTGTGAAATAACAGCCACAAGAAAGAGGTACGGAGGGAGACAGAAGAAGACATGTAGAGAGAGAAACAAACTAAAAGGCAGAGAAAGAGGGAGACTGGGAAAGACATGGAGACAGAGACAGACAGAGGGACAGGGACAGTGAGAGAGACAGAGAGAGATGGAGAGTAGGACAATGTCCACCAGGTTCCGCTAGTTGCTTATATTTTTCTCACTTCATGTACCTTGACTTTTTATGTCAAATTACTCAAATGGCCAAGCTAATGCTTCACCATGTTAATTTAGATTGAGGACCTTCAGTCCTCAATCCATGATTGACAGACCTTCAGACCTCACAATTAACAACAAACATATAAGAGTTTGAAAGATGCATAATTATCCACAATTTACTGCAAAAAAATATTTGTAGGAAAACTCACCACCTGAGTGATAAACACCTATCTATTATTTGTTTCTTGAAAGCACTCACTTTATCACTTCAGAAATCTAATTACATCTATAAACACCTGTACAATATTTTCAGAATACTACCCAATCAACAAATATAGGGCATGTCAAATGTGACAACCATTGAATTCCACTATGGCTGACCATCAAAAGATTCCCCTCCATCCCCTTTCACTGATCAGCATGAACTGCCATTTTGGACTACTTTAAGTTGAACCAGACTCTTCAAATAAAACAAAATTACTTATTTTCTACTAGTATTACCTGCTTTGATCACTAATACATACACATAAAATTATTAATTTTCTATTAATATTAATTGCTTAGATCCCTAGAATTAAAAGAGAATTATTATTCTCAGGATATAATAAATTTTAATTAATAATCTTTGCTAGTCAGACTTACCTACACCATCACCATTAAGAGGCACCCTGTGTAGGATATTCATACTGTTAGCTTCATCTTGACCAACAATTGGACGACTTTCTGGAATACCAGCTGCAGCCTTGTGTGCTTCATAATTGTGGACTGCCTCGGTGGGGACCAGTGGCCAGAGAGGACCCTGTGTGAATGAAAATATGAGAAAATGGATTTAATGACAATGCATCTTTCTCACAACAGCAACAACCACAATAAATCAATAAACAAACCCCTTTCACAGTTGGAGGCCTGCAAATTGCAAGAAGACTGCATAATTCTTTTGCACCTTTAGCATCCAATTCACTGACCAAAAAGTCATAAAAGACAGCATAGTACTCTTCCACAATGCTCAAACACTGAAAAATCAGATACAAGGTTTACTACTGATAAAGAAACTGAAAACATCAAGAAACTTGGGAAAAGACAGTGTGGTACCTGTGCTTTAAAAGACTTGAATTGTCCACAAAGCCCCTTCAGAACCTGTTCAAACTCGGTTTCTGTAGTATTAGCAACAAGGAAATCCCGAAGGTGCAAAACCAATTGTTGACACATTTCACAAGCTCCATCCTTCTTCTCAGGTTTCAACATACCAACCGATGATGTATGAACCACTTCAATGCCTTCAATAGTTTCGTCAGGCTTTAAAAAAAAATTTTAAATCCAAATAAATTGAAATGTTTCCACTTACCATTACATATTTTCAAAGCAATATAATTCTCCACTGCACAAGAAGAAACATTAAACTACTCACTTCGTGAGTGTGGAACTTAAATTGACACATTCCAGACAAATGACAAAGACCATCACCATTGAAGTTCTTCATTAAATGTGAATAGAGAGATTCAAAATGAGTGATCACAACAGCAGCACAGCCATCTGAGAAACTGCCAAGTCTTCCACAAGCCTGTAAACCACATTGTTCATTAACTTATTCGTTTCAAAACAAACAGAATCTATATGCTCACTAAACAATACACTGAATTTGGGAACAAGGATACACAAATTACCTCAACAAAATTATTTAAAATTGTTTCTTTCGGAGTTCTCAGCAGATTTTGCTCAATCTGTCTAGCAACAAACGAACAGTCATGGCACTTCTCAGGGGATGTAATTTCGTTTGATATTTCATCGGAGTTGCTGTCACTCTGAAATTTAAACAAAAAGATTGAAAACCAAAACTATTTTAGAATATAAACCAGCATTAATGTTTTTTGGAAGACATACATATATATTTTGATAGATAAATTTAAACTGCCATTTCCAACACCTTAATGTTTACAATTCTCAAAACATTCTGATACAACTTATAAATTAGTAGAGGCCTATTGTTCAAACCATTCTGCCAAATTTATAGGCAAAGACAATTTATACAATGTCAACGAAAAGTGTGCCAGAAAAAAGTCTTAAACATACACAATGACCTTCAAATCATAAAAAGCATGAATATCAATCATGAATAGCAAAACATACTCAAAAAGAGCAATTGTTTACAATTCTTAGGTTAATTCAATTAATATAGTTTACTGAGAGCAGCCACATTCTGTAGTGCCTCTCTACTTCTCTAATGTGTTTTCAATACCGCAATTTAGAAGTCCCTTTTAGTAAACAACTCTGAATCAATATCACAACCTTGAAAAGGCAAGGCCATTATCCTGAATTACAATACAGCTGACTTTGAATAAACTACAACACATGGCCAATAAGGATCCCTAATTGATTTGATACATCAGCTAATGTAAAGCCATAAATCATGAAGACTTGAGTTGAAATTAAAGTATTTAGAATTAGTCAAGAAGTAACAGATATTTTGAGATAAGATCAAGTATGACATTAAGATTATAACTAATGAAATGACATCAATCTTTATAACTTTTGCTTCTCAAATCCATTTCTAAAACCTTTGAAAGCTTCTTTACAAATACTTTGGTATACCAGAAATGTAATTTGCTTTACTATCACGATAAAAAGGAGATGCAGAGCATATTTTTTCAGAAGCACATTTTTAAACATTTTTGTTTTTTATTTATTAACTGGACACACCCTGTAATCATGTCAGGTTACATTGCAAGAATGCATGTAATGAAAACACAAAAATAGACTAATTACTTAAAGAGTATAAAATGTTATTAGCTATAACAATTTCCAGCATTACCATTACTGTACTGTGGAGTTTGATTAACTTGAGCAAAATAGAAACCCTGTATATTTTGCAATTATGATTGACTGAAATTTATCCTGCCAAAAAAGATTTTTCATATATGACTTTTCCACAAGCAACAAAAATTAAAAACCAACAGAGTCACTGTAAAATGTGATGTTATTAGAATGACTTCTGGTGATACAATTAGTTTTCCCGGCATGCAATTTGATTTTGGAGTTTCAGTGTGTTTGTAGTTAGACAGCCCTGGAAATAGAATTTGCAAGTTACAGCAACACTGATTTCTTTTTTCTATATTGATTTTGTTTGGCTACTCTCTTAATTTTGTGTGTTCGCTCAGGATAATAAAATACGAAAGTATTACCCAATTGTTGCAAGGTAGTCTCTTTAATTTGTTAGGTTGCTTAGAAACTCTTAAATATACTACATTTAGCATATTGGCTACATTAAGTCAAACATTTTTGATGAATAAACTATTGAAGATCTGAAATATAGTCATAGAAACATAGGTATACTCCATCAAGATAAATATAGAATCACATAACTGAAATGCAATAGGTTGTTAACTCTTTGCAAAATATGAAGGCTTGTGGGAAAACTATGGGCCTAATCTTCAATACACCGCCATTGGATTCTGAGAACGAAGTGTGTCTAAAACACTAACAAATATCAGAGGATGGCATGGAGGATTTCTCCATGCCACTTAGCAACTATAGCAAATAATCAAAAATTTCACTTGATGACCCCTTCAGGATAGCCCTAAAATTGTTTCACACAATCCTCAAGAAAGCAGACCCATCCCCACCTCCTATATTACTAATGACAGAAATTGTTAAATGAACTTAACTTCAGTATTACAGAAATTAAATTGTGTTCTGTAATATATTATTAATTTGAAAGTTTATTTCCATTCCATCATTTATGATGAGTTACCTCTACTTTTCATAAAAACTAACCTCTATGCTAAAATAGTTGTACATTATTCAATATTATACATGATCAAATTTATTGATTTTATATTCTTGTTACAGATTTTTATTTCTAAATAACTTTTAGGTTGATCAAATGACAAAAACTTATTGAAATGGCAGGAAAAATGAATTCTCAACTTTCAAGTGACACCATCCATCTGGTGGATTTTGAAGCACATGAAAAGTATTATGGCTCTTTCAATATATGAGGTGATACATCTGTAGTTCAATGATTTGGTTCATCTTTCTTATGTGGAAAGAAAAAAAGAAGTGTAGTACACGGTACAACTTACGGAAGTCGCTTACACTGACACTTCACGCCGCCTCGGCAGCAACTATGCAGTTTGAATTCTGGAGGCTTTCTTGAAAAGTGAATTGGTAATTATGGGGTGGATATACTCAAGGATGTTTATAGTGAATTCAAGGACCGAAGGCCCGAGCATTGCTATTACATGGATTCGAGCAAGCAAAGCAAGAAAACTTGCCGTTGAAAGTAAATTGACATTACAATACGGCGGGAACAAAGCGTATGAGGGGCAAGCCATGAAAATCGCCTATCCGTATGTTTTAATTATTTCTATCAGAGCGTGTAGTGTAATTTGAGGAAGGTTTTAAGGAGAACCCTCCCCCCCTCACCACCGCCACACTTTTCTGAGGGTGTACTGTGTATCCTACTTTAACCAGGAAAAATATGATTTGTAAAGTTTCATGTATTAATGACAAACAAGAATTATTAATATACTCACTGAAGAGCTCAATAATGCATCAATGCGTGCATTATTACATAACCCAGCAACAGCACAGACAGCTTGGGGGTTCATTTGAGATGCAAGTGTCTCAACAAGTTCAGGAATAAACTCATCAGACAGTTTGATACATTCTTTCTGTACAATCGATATAGGAATTAGTTTGCATGATCCTTCAAACACCTCTCGTAATTCTTCCTGCAGAACAAAATATTGTCACTAAAATAAAGTTCTGTACATAATCAAAAGAAAATTTATGTCTAATATTTTTCAAGAGTTGGAAATATTCGGAATAAAGAAATAGTGAAATTCAGAAAGTCTATTAATAACATGAACTAAAAGTTATGATAAAATTAATAATTACAGCAACGATAATATAATAATGTGAAGTAATAAACAAACAATTTTTTCACAAAACTGCTTACAAACATTCGAATTATTACCTTACTCACTACTTATTCAAAATGTAAAAACTTACCTGGGTTTCATTACTTTCAAGCTGTGCCCGAGCCTGGGCAACCATATCTTTACATATTTGACACACATTATCGTTATCAGCAGGCAATGTCTGTTGTTCCCACACTGTCTGAATGCAATGTTTCACTGCATTGCAGTCTTTTGCAGTACTGTACATGTGAAAGAGAGGGTTAAATGGTTTTTGAATTAAAGATAAGTTTGTAGAATGCATAAAAATTAAATACATACGTGATATTTTTACACCAATACGAAGGACCCCTAACACAAAATCTGGAATTCACAGGAGGCGAAGAGTCTATGATTTCAATAGATGCAGACTGTACTGTTCCTAAATGTAACAAAAACAGTATTTTAACTACTTCCTTATAAGTGAAGGAAATATAAAAAGTTCACTGAATGCAATCTCCAAACATTAGAATTCTTTACGTACTAAAACTTTTGACATTAACAACAGGTTATTAATAAACCTCCAAGATGATCTAACATTAACTACTATCAAATACGAGGAAGCTAGGAAGACAAAATGTTACGTCAATGACGTTTAATGAAACAGTGAATGTACAAAATACTACATTAATATTGATGAGATGAATATCTTACCAACAAATAATAGGCATAAGCCTATAAACCCCACACCTTGCAACCCCATCTTCTCTTCCAGAAGACACTACAACAACTGAAATAATTTACGATTCACAATTCGGACGTCTCTGGCTCCCAAGTCTTGTGACCAGACCAGCTGTGAAGTGCTGTGTACGTACTGGAGTGATGAGGCAACAAACAGGTCTGCCAACACTAGCATGTAGTAAATGCGTTATACCAAGAACAAAGACAAGGCAAACATTTTTAGAAGTTTCAGGAATAAGAACATACCAATTATAAAAGAACAATATAATAATACAATATACAAAAGAATAAATGATAAAAAGTAAAATAAAGTAGGAATACATCATATTTCGAACATCATATATTTCCTTCTGTAAATGTTTTCTTTGTGAATAACAAAGTCTTCTTAAATCAAGTAAAACTAGAGTACTCCTGCGAGAACTCTTGCGTGTTAATCCCCACCCTATCCAAATCAGTTTCCCTATCCTTTCCATTAGGAAGGAAAGTTGCAAATGATGCGTGTTTATTTGTTAAAACAATTTATAAATGTAACTCTCATACGAGCTCCTGGGTCACTACCCAGCCGCCAGAATTGGGAAGGAATTAGTATAGGGATAGGGTTTAGGACACTTCACACGGGTTGGATTAGCCTTGTGAAGCAGCCAAACTCGTTTTGTCAGAACAACTTTCACATGACTGTCCGGGAATCGAACTCGGACCTCATTGAAAGGCGACCGATTTCGCTCCGAGCCAGCTATTCTTTCTGTAATTTTTAATTTGGTTGCGTTTTTAAATTAATTCACGTAGTATTATAGGCTAGCGCGTTTTGATTTTTGTTGTTCATTTATTTAAAGATATTTTACTTTAGTTCATTAAAAAAGTGTTCTTTGTGTTGTGCCATACCTCTCGTTTTTCCCTACTACCTCCGCGTACTTGTTGCGAGAACTTTCCCCACACTCTTTCCCATTCTTAAAATTCCATCCTAAGAGGGAAACGTATTTATTTGTTTAAAAATGTATAAAGATAACTTCTGCAGTACTAACACAATATCAAATAAAAATATTTTTTAAAAACAATGCAATTGATGAGAAAAATAAATATTCGCTAAAGGTTTACTCAGTATTAACGAGAGATTTCTTGGAACAATTCAAAACTTTCCCTTAAAAATATTTCGAGTAGTTATTCATTCTTTGAGAGTTAGCTTTTCGCGTCTCGTGATAGTCACATAATATTTAAAAAAATCTTTACTCTTGAGAAGGCAACGTGACTGAACACGCTGACTTGTAAGTTAGACGGAATTACTGCTGATAACGAAAATATTGGTACAGGTAAAACACAAACCAAGCCTAACGAGACACGTTTTCACTCTTCACTGTACTCCCATATCCCTTCACAATTAGGTACACAGCACTTGTAGACCTCGGCAAATCGTTAAATGAATGATTACACTGTACGCATGAGAAACAATCTTCATCGGTATCAAACAACTATTAATAGTACTTCTCGTTCTGCGAGAGCGAATCTTGAATTAATAATTATGCAAATAAATCTCGCCAGTCTGCGCAAACCATCGTATAAAAAGTATAAAATAAAGAAAGCCAAGCCTTCTAAGCGTGACGTCACAAAGATGGCCACCAAGGGTTGGAATTCAGGTGGCATTGGTAGTGTCGATAAATGCCGAACCAGCAAAAATTTAATAGAATATCCTATAATATCTCATCCTCTAGATTACAATGTGAGGAATGTTTCTTTGAGGCTTTAAGCCTCAATATATTATGTTTTTAGGCTCTAGAAAGCTTCGTTTAGAAGTTATTTATCGTTATAGCTGACTGTGTGCTAAATATGCATTTGATATGAATATTTAGATGCGTTTTTTAAAACAAATCCTTCATGTCAAAATGCAATTCATCACGTCTCCATGAAGTTCTCTTTCTTTAACCTCGTTTATAAAGATCGGTTACGTGTGAGAGCCGCGAAAGGTATGTAAACTACTGAAATAATAGAGGAGACGATAATATTAACTTACGCAGTGTTTTTAAAATTTAAATTTTCCAAAGGCAAAAACATATTTTTCAATAAAAACACTTCAAAAATGAGAATGCATCTGTCATTCTTGAATAATTATTAACCTCAATCGGAGGTTTGTTCTTAAGATATAATATATTCCACACAATTTTTAAACCGAAACTATACTAATTCTCGTTAGTACGGAGAATTACTCTAGGGAGAGCGCTCAACGCTCAAACAAGAGTGAGACGCGTTGCGGCAAAAAAAGTAGTGCTACAGAATGGCACAGACTTTCCCGTTTCTATTTCCTTTGGTCTCGACTGTCTATTCGGACTTTCCACACAATCGTGTCAGCTGCAAGCTATCGCCGTCCAAACTACTTTAAAAAAATATTTTTTATACATTTTCTTAATTTTTCGGTTTCCCAACAGAAGAACGGAAATATTATTTTAAGAATATTAAAGATCAGTAAAACTCGTCCTAAATGACAATTTTCTTTGAAAAATTTTGAGCCGTTTTTTATAAAAATGGCGTTTAAGCTCTACTGTAAATTCGAAACTTAAAGCTCTTTTTCACGGAATATTTTTGCATTTTCGTAAAACTTTATTAGTCGTCATTTAACGAACTTTAACTCGTAAATACAACATTGTTTACAATTTGGTGGAAATGTACATATTAACGGGGTGAGAGGTCTTCCAAAAAATTACATTTGTGTAATTTTAGAAAAAACAAAAAAGAACCCCAAAATTAACTTAAATTCATATTAAAAAGTGCAATTAGCACTATCCCTTCGAATAGTTTGATAACAAAATTTGAAGCCGTTTTTGAGAAAATGGCGTTTGAGTGTTTCTGAAAATTCGAAATTTTGATCTAGTTTTCACAGAAAAATGTTGAGTTTTCGAGCATCATTATACGACATTATTTAAAGCACATCTACTCAAAAATATAATAATGTGAACAAATTGCCTCTAAAATAAATATTAACGATGTTGGAGACAAGTAAAAACGTAATTTTTGTAATTTTTGAAAACACAAAATAGACCAACATGGCGTTTGTTATAGAGTACATTTAGCACTATCCCTACGAAAAGTAAAGAAAAAAATGGAGTGTTTATGAGAAAATCAAGATTTTGATTTTTTTTAATTGCACATATTGCTCGCAATATTGAGCGAAAGTACTAAAATATTCAAAAAATGTTCATTACCATATAAAATAAGTAATTATGGAAGAAATTTCATTTGAAGGAAAAATCTCTATCTTTAATTTTGAAATTGTTGGAAGATGCCGAAAAAAAAATCCAAAATTTTAAATTTTCGACAATTCAGAGTTTACAATGAAAATCGAACCTATGTCACCTTCATAAGTGCATTTTAGTCTATCTTTACAAGAAATCAA